AATTGTGATAGACTCTATCCCGAGTGAAGTGAAATATAAATACAAGTTACTCTTACTGTTATTGCCTTGTGATAAGAGGTGCTTCTGCTTTTGTACAAGTAATGAACTTTCATATTTATAATAATAATAATCCTTGCTTTCGACATAGCTCCTTATCACGTCGTCGAGACGTCTCAAAGCGCTTCACGGAATATACTGTAAAGTGAATTGACGGTGTACTTTTCGGCCAAACGTGAACGAACTGCACACGATGCCGCGTTCATGACAAAGGGCCCACAAAACAGAATCGTGGATGAATTATTCAATGAGGAGAGTCATGAGTCCACTGAAACCTGATCTCATTCAGAGCCTTACTGAGAAAGTTTCACAAACAGTGCATAGGGGCGGACAGATTTACACTCATCATCAGGCTACAATTCCACTGTGCTTTTGTTACTGGCCGCTCATGCTGCTCAGTAATCGGATACGTAGGTCGACCAAACACGGTACAGCTTAAACCGGACTCTTCTTCTCTTAACGTCTTAATAACACTTTGGTCTTCTGTCTAACTACAACGCCAACTCGCATTTATATAGCGCTCCTCACGTGGGTAAGCTATCTTGGAGCGCTCAGCAGTGGCGGAGCCTGAGGCCGAGACGGGGATGGGGGGGGGGCGGAAGGGATTGACCAACTTATTATTATTATTATTTTTTATTTTTTTGGAAGGGGTTACTACCCCCGGAAAGCAACGCAAAGGAGCTCAAACGGTTTGCGCTTAACGGGAAGAAAAAAAAAACAGGATGCAGAGTTAATACAATGTTCAAGGTAAAACTGTACCTACAAAAACCTTTTCGCAACCCCCCCTCCCCCCGGAAAAATGTAAAGCTTTTACGCGGCTGCTTGTAGCTGCATTGATTTGAGCGAAGTGGCTGGATACGGTCTGTCATCTCGGAAACACTACTTTGATGCACATCTGGGACTGTATGAATATTGCATCTAATGGCCCAAATGAAGCCATCTTTACGTTCCTGCATCACTGATGTATTTGCCCCGAAGCTACAAGCATTTGAAACCAAAACGAGTGTGTTTAAAAAGGACCGATTCATTAGCAACATCTGAGGGATGATGGGATTTCAGCTTTTGACCTGTAATAATTCCCTGTGGTGTAAATACTGAAGTAATAAAAGCGCTACACTCGCATTATCTATAATTCTTGAAAGAGCTTTCATGCATTCCCATGTATGTCGGTTGCAAATTGCACAGCCAATCCACTTTACAGTATATTCTGTGAAGCGCTTTGAGACGGCTCAACAGCACGATAAGACGCTATGACAAATGCAGGGATTATTATTATTACTGTAGCCTATTTAGCTTCCTTTCTGATTTCTTTAGAGCACTCGCCTCACAAGCAAGAGACCTGGGTTCGATTCCCGGCAGGGCGAAAAAAGTTTCTTTACTCTGTTTACCGAGCAGTAAGTAGGAATCCGGTTGTTAGTCGACTGGTGAATCGCTTTTCCGGGGGTAAAAATTGCTAAAAAAATAATAAATTGGTCACTTCCATCCACGATTGTTTGTGGGACGCCTCTGTGCACAATTGGCTGCTGTGTTTCGCCCACAAAATATGCCGTCAATTCACTTTACAATATATTCCTTGAAGCGCTTTGACATGCCTTGAAGACGTGATAAGGCGCTGTATCAAATGCCAGGATTATTAGTCTCCTTTCAGCTTCTGTCAGATTCTACTCATATTTGTGGCAATTTTTACACAAATGAAAAAGAATGAAGATTCTTGGACTGCGCAGAAGGTCTGGATTGTGGAATACACGCCTGGAGTAACGCCAGTAATTATGGATTTGAACCTCGGGCCGCGACTCAGAGTTGCTTTCGGACTTTCGCAAGCAAGATGTGTGAGCTTTCTGGTCTGGCGGAGGGTGCGGGCGGAGAGAGGAAGAATGGAGTGTCTGAAAAGAAAGATCCTCACCCTCACCTACAAGGCCATTCACGGCCTCGCTCCCTCCTACCTCTCCGACCTACTATCCCCCTACCTACCCGCCCGTACCCTCCGTTCCTCTGGCTCCGGTCTGCTCCACATCCCCCGCCCCAACCGCCCTACCATCGGTGGCCTTCAGCCTCTCAGCCCCGAGGCTCTGGAACTCCATCCCCCAGTGCCTTCGCCGCCTCCTCCCTTTCCTCCTTCAAGGCCGGTCTCAAGACCTTTCTCTTCTCTTCAGCTCCACTCTCGACTCTCTACCCCCTCCTCGCTCCCTCCCTTCCCTCCCCTCACCCTGACCATTTCCCCCCTCCTCGCTCCCTCCCTTCCCTCCCCTCACCCTGACCATTTCCCCCCTCCTCGCTCCCTCCCTTCCCTCCCCTCACCCTGACCATTTCCCCCCTCGCTCGGGTCCTGACCCAACTGTACAGCGCCTTGGGACGTCCTCCCGACGTGAAAGGCACTCAATAAATGGAATCTTGTTGTTGTTGTATTATGAATTGTACTGTGCTGCAAGAATTCAGTGCCACTTTCATGGTAGATGTGCGATATGAAAATTAAATATTAATAACCATCTGCCTATGTGTGGCCTGGCTGTTACAGTGCACTTGCTCTGTTATCTTTTCTGCCCTACGAGGTTAAGCTGCTCATAGAATAGTCTACTCGGTAAATGACTCACTCACTGCTGTGTGGAAATAAATTATGTGTAAGGAATCATGCGTAGAAGTAAATTTGCTGCGCTCAAATCCATTCCCTCCCTGGCACCTCCCTACCTCTCCGACCTCCTCACTCCACCAATCCACCACCCGGCGCCTCCGCTCGACTGGCACCCACCTCCTGCTCGTCCCTCGCGCCCTCCGCCCCACCATCGCAGGTGGCGCTTTCAGCCGCTGCGCCTCGAAACGCTGGAACGCTCTCCCTCGATCCCTCCGCCATCTCCCCGCCTCCCCCCCCAAGTCCCCACCCCAGGCTCCGCCACTGTTAAGTGGCCTAAGATGCAACCCTGCGTGGAGGGTGCTGTATAAGTGCAAGTTGTTGCTGCTGTTGTCATTGTTGTTACGCATAGAAAGGATCGATACTCTTTTTTTAATAAAATAATAAAGTTGGTCACTTCGATCCACGACCGTTTGCGGGGACAACGCCGCTGTGTGCAATTGGCTGCCGCGTTTCGCCCGCAAAAACGTACAATCAATTCGCTTTTACAGAGTATTCTGTGAAGCGCTTTGAGACGTCTCGAGGGCGTGATCCGATGCTGCATTGATCGCAAGAATTATTATTATTATCATTAATATTATCATTATTATTATTATCTTCATTATTATTATCATTATTATTGTCATTATTATTATTATCATTATTGTCATTATTATCATTATTGTCATTATTGTCATTATTATCATTATTATCATTATTATTATTATCATTATTGTCATTATTATCATTATTATTATCATTATTATTGTCATTATTATTATCATTATTATTGTCATTATTATTATCATTATTATCATTATTGTCATTATTATTATCATTATTATCATTATTATCATTATTATTATCATTATTGTCATTATTATTAAGAATAACTGTAGTAAACAATAGCCTTCAAATAAAAGGACGATGACGAGAAGAGATTGTCTTTTTAGTTGCTTGAAATGTATTGTATACTAAAACACAGAAGTGAAGATTCTTACCAGTTTATCCAAAACTTCATCTTGCACGTTTCTGGAGCTATTGCATAAATGAAATGCGGAGGAGTGGCTGAAAATGACAGGGGCTTCAGATTCCTTAAGCACATCCAACATTGTAGCTTTGGAAACATGCGACAAATCTACCAACATTCCCAGACGGTTCATTTCCTTCACAACTTTCTGCAAGGGATCATCACAGCAATCATAAGATGGCCTTTTTTTTATTACACAGTTAAAATTGGCAACAATTAGTGCATAAGCAAAAAACAATAATAAAAAAAATTGGGTCATTTTCAATCTACGACTGTTTGTGGGACATTGCTGTGCGCAATTGGCTGCCGCGTTCGCCCACAAATATACAGTCAATTCACTTTACAGTGTGTTCTGTGAAGCGCTTTGGGACGTCCTCCCGACGTGAAAAGCGCTATATCAAATGCAAGGATTATTATTATTATTATTATTATTATCATTATTATTATCATTATTATTGTCATTATTATTATCATTATTATTGTCATTATTATTATCATTATTATCATTATTATCATTATTATCATTATTGCCATTATTATTATCATCATTATTATCATTATAAAGATTATAATCAATATTATTGACATCAGGATGTGGTGCATTGGCTGTGAATGGGGAAAAAAAAACACCTGAATCTTAAACAAATAAAGGGTTTTTTTTTAGGAACGATCCCGACATTGTGCGTGTGTGTGTGTGTGTGTGTGTGTGTGTGCGTGTGTGAGATTGTATTTTTTTTGGTCACTGATATCATTAAAGAAAAACACAACAAGAAACGAAAATAAAACAACACAATAAAGGATTGCAGTCCTGGTGCTCAGGTCCAGCTGTCCATCAAACCGTGTCCATGGCAACCAGACGCTCTACGCGTTGCCTGGACCTCAACCCCCGATTGGCTCCTCCCCGCGCCCAGGTCCCGCCTTCCCGGAGGCGGGGCGGGGGCGGGGAGGGGGGCGTTGACGGCGCCGGCGATTGGTGCGCGTGCGCTGTCCGTCAAGCCCTGGTGCGGCCCATCCGCGAATGGGGCGGTGGAGTTGACGCGCGGGCGGGCGGGTCCCGCCCACCGCCTGCCCCATCGGCCGCCCCGCGATTGGCGGAAAGGGCCCGCCGATCAGCCTGCGGGGCGGGGCGGGGCCGGAGGGGTCGGGGTCGGGGTCGGCCAATCAAGCGGGAGAGAGCGCGCGAGGGCGGGTAGAGTCCCGCCCACACGCCCGCGCTCGGCGCTCCTGACTGGCTGAGGCGGCTGTCGGTCGGCGCGTTGCTAGGCGCGCGCCGGGTGGGCGGGGGAGGGAAAGGGTGGGAGGGGGGTGCCGCCCGCGCGCGCGCGCGTGCGCAGAGCCGGCGCGTTGACGGTTGGGCTCGAGCCGTCCGTTGATCCCCTTTCCCCGATCGCCTCAACCGCCACTCCCTCCTCCTCCTCCCTCCCTCCCTCAGGAAGCGAATGGTGTCGGGCGGGAGGCGAGCGACGGCTTGAGGCACGCGCTTCGGCTCGAGTCCGGCTTCGACAATGCCGGTGAGTGAGGGGAGGGAGTGAGGGGAGGGATTGGGATTGGGTCGGGTCGGGGGCCTGGAGGGAGGGAGGGAGGGAAGGAGGGAGAGGAGGGGAGGGAGGGAGAGAGAGAGAGGAGGGAAGCACAATGGCGTCTTCCCCGCTCCCCCACACACACACACACACTCACACTCCTTCTCTCACTCCCGGGATGACGAGACGAGGCGTGTCGGCCGCTGAGGCCCGAGGGTCTCCTCCCGACGCTCACACCCCATGGGCCCGGGACCGGGACCGGGGACCGGGACCGGAGGGGACGTCTCTCGCTTCTCAGCAAAGTCCACGGGATATGACCCTCTCCCTCCCGCCACAGATGGACAAACATAAACCCCTTCTCTCTCTCTCTCTCTCTGTTTCTCTGTCTCTTCTGTTTCTCTCTCTCTCTCTGTTTCTCTTTCTCTGTTTCTCTCTCTCTCTCTGTCTCTCAGTTTTTCTCTCTCTCTCTGTGTTTCTCTCTCTCTGTCTCTCTCAGTCTCTCTCTCTCTCTGTCTCTCTCAGTCTCTCTCTGTCTCTCTGTGTGTGTACATGTCCTCTCTCTCTGGAACGTCCCCCCGACCCGAAAGGCGCTGTACAAACATAATTTGTATTGTATTTCTCCATCACTCTGTCTGTCCGTCTCTCTCTCTCTCTCTCTCTCTGTTGGACAATCACAACCGCTTATATATATATATATATATATCTAAAAAAAATCACAGCCGGCCCCAAAGTATCCCAATATCTTTATAGCAATAATAACAACAACAATAATAATCCTTGCATTCGACATAGCGCCTATCACGGCTTCGAGGCGTCTCAGAGCGCTAACCCGCCGCCGCCTCCTGATGGGGCGAGCAGATTGTAAATAAAGCGACTGTAAATATCGGTGCGTCAGTCTCGCCCGAGTTGTGTAGGTGTGGGCATCTCACCGCTGGTTGATTGAGAGGGAGGGAGGGGATCGAATCTTCTGTTTGCGTGCAGCAGTGATGCAGCATAAATCCGTCTGATGGTCCTTGCGAGGGTGGATTCGCCTGTATTTTTCTGTGTGCAAGAAGGCAATGAGATTGACTTTGGAATGCATCTCCGGATGAATGGTTTGGGATGGGAGATCAGCAGAAATTGAGGCGCCGAACACTCAGATCAATCAGTTCTGATTTTTAAAAAAAAACGCAGTGCGTGTTCTGCTAAACATACTTGTTAGAATAAACGTGAGAGATTTGGCTGCTGATATTTTATTACGTGTGTCTAATTAGATTATATGGAGAAATGAGTGTCATGAAATGTCTGGTCATTTGTGATTCACAGGCCTACTTGTGAGCAGTGAATTTTCTGCGTATGTATATAGCTGCACAAAGCTTTTAGCCAAAATATATATAGATAAATCTGCACAGACTCTTGAACAATGTGGGTAGAATGAATTCCGTGTGCATTGTGTGCACCTCATAGAATATGGCAGCATTAAATCCATTCTTTATTTATAGTGAAGCAGGTTGGGGAGTTAATTCGGTTGAACCTAAATCATGCCTGAATAAACAGTGTGGATTTACAGTAGTCTGAATGGATACCCTATTACTCAATGAATAAGATGCCTTTTATGGCAGTTAAATGCGCAGTTGTATTCTCTCTGGTACTGTTATGAGTCTGTTGAATTATAGTATGTCAGATTCTACTTTCTGCAGTTCATTATTATTTTCAATTATTTAAGTATGTAACAAAAGTGTAAAATTCCGACTTTTGGTACAGTAGAGTACCACCATTGGGACAGAAATGCATGAAAAAATACACAAGAGAATGACTAAAGTGATTCTCGGACTTGGACCAATGCATTATGAAGACAAGCTAAGGGAATGATGATCATTTGCTTTGGCAAAACTAAGAATAAAAAAAATTGGTCACTCAGTCCACGACTGTTTGAGGGATACAACTGTGTGCAATTGGCTGCCGCGCTTCGCCCACAAATATGCATTCACTTCACTTTACATCATATTCTATGAAGTGCTTTGAGACGTCTGGAAGATGCATATTTGTGGGCGAAACGCGGCAGCTAATTGCACACAACAGTGTCCCATAGACAGTTGTGGATTGAGGTATTAGTGATAAATATCTTGTGATAGAAAGATGGCTCTAAGAATCACAGAGGATAGCAGCTGCCTGCAATGTTAATGTATCATCTAGAAAGCATTAGTAAACAATAAATGTTGCCAGATTATGGTGGGAAGTTACGCCTTGGGAATACACAGGTCATTATTCTATTCCGACAGCAGAACAGGCAGTGGAGTATATTTGCTTTATTTCTTAATAGGTTTTCTTAATCTTCCAGTTACTCGAAGGAAACTTCCATTTGTACAACTAAATTCAACACAGTTATTTGGATGCTGCATCCCATAAGAACTCTTGGAATCTAAATCAATTTTTTGTTCATAAACATTCCTAGTGAAGTGTTGACAAATAGATTTCATTTTGATGACATTCTTTAGTTTTTAAAACTTATTGTTGATACTGTTATTTATTTTGAAGCACAAGAATTGGGTTCTTCAAGAGGTATATTAATTAGTTCATGGAAACTCCTATGGTTTTACTCTCATTTTAATGTCTCTTCTCTATATTGCTTTGTTTACTTACTTTCAAGTGCCTGTATCTGTATCCCTTTTAAGCATCTCATTTGATTTTGCATCGGTGGTTGTCTGGAGGAGTGCATTCCAGATTTTCATAACACTTACATGAAGAAATATATTTTGGGTTTACTTTTAATTCGTTTAGTTCTAGTTTTAATATTAGACCTGGTTACACACTAATTGAATAACTTCCCCCTTTTCAGTGAGAATGAAATCAATCTCTCTAAAGGGTGCTATTTTTAATGGTTTGTCTGGCAACTGGCTGGTTCAGTTTTCTTTTTTGTATCAAATAAATTCAGTTCTGAATCTGTTGTGTCCATTGATGTACCAATTGCGTCTTAGGAAAGTAGGTCAGGCTGCAAGTGGGCAAGAAGCACAGAGACTATTTACTGAACTACCTATGGTTAAAATGGCATCCCTGGTAACGTATCAGAAGTGTTACACCGTCTCTTGCTGAATTTTTACAACCCATTTGCCTTTCCTCAAGCCTTACTTTAATGAAAACATTGATGTTTGGGGTGTGGTTGAATGAGCTGCTGATTCTCCTCCAAGTGTTTGTGACTCTTAAGGGTTGAGTTTCAGGTGAGATTTCTGAAGGTAGTTGGCCAGTGCTGAGTTCTGTTTACTCATGCACAGCTAGCAAGTAGCTATGAGCAAATACCTCAGATGATGTATAGTTTTCTTCTCCAAGCGTGAAAACACAAAGGCCAATTGTGTGCTCTCTGGTAGGATGGTTTACGGCACAAACTGGTGATCGAATCTGAGAAATTACTGATCCTGTATGGCTCACGCATTGGGCCCTCAATGAGGGCATATTTGAGGGTAATATTTTAATCTTAACTATCAGAATAGATCTGTGTATGGAACAAATGAAATCTCTAACATGAAAACAGCGAGGTGTTTTTAAACAAAGCTGTGTTGTGATTGGGACAAAAATAAGTGAATTGTCACTTCTCATATTATCACTTTTTTTAGGTCGCCAAATTAGCAGTGGCAGTAACTGGGTTGTGCTCTAATATGGCCATAACTCCCACCGAATGGAGTTTACCTTAGGGAAATGCTGCAGAATCGCTGTGTCATAATAAATTTAGTTCTCTCGAGTGCCTGTCACTACAATTTTATGAAACACTTGATTCACGAGAAATTTAAAAGGGCTCCTATCCCTCCACATAATTCAAGTGGTTTCTGTCCATTTGGTGGCCTGAATGCAGGGAACATATAGAATAACAGAAAAAAGAAAGTACACTCAGCTGGTACACCAGCTGATGTAAATCTGGGTCATAGATGTAAATGTATTAGATTTGCTAAATACAAGCAATCATGTTGGTAAGATTAAAATGCCAATCAATTTTCTCTCTCTCCTCTCCCCATCTGCTTGTATCACTCCAAGGCCTCTTCCATGTCATGTAGTGCACCATAATGTTTATTTGCCATTAAATAGTTCACATTGGCCATGCATTGTGGTACCAATCTTTTGTCATCACCACCTATAAGGGCTTTTCTGCTAAAGCATGTGTATCTACCTAATCTGGCTTTTGTATATACTAGTCATTTGCCAGCGAACACACAATCGGGCTTTGTATCTGACGCTAATAATTAAATTGTAATTAAAGGTGTAGTAAACACCTTAGCTGATTTTTATCTGATCATGCATTTATCTGATCATTATTCTCTTTTTGTAGTATTGTATTGTAGATTTGGCTAACACATTTGGATGCCTTGAGTTTGTATGAAAAGATCTTCTTTGGAATTTAATTTGAAAGATGATATTGGTTACCGCCCTGAATTCCCAGCCTTAATACTAATCCGATGCATTTGATCATAATTCCACAGAGTAACAAGTCCGAGAAGTTGGACCGGGTTGAGACCTGCGATAATGTGAAGTGGTGGTGCGTTGCCGGCCGATGAATGAGAAGGAAAAACACATGAGCTACAAGCAAGCGGTACTGGTTGATGAGATACGTGGGACTATCACAGTCTACAAGACAGATGCTGCCAACGAACCACCTAAAACATTCACTTTTGATACAGTTTTCAGTCCCGAAAGCAAGCAAGTGGATGTGTATAATCTCACAGCAAGGCCAATCGTCGATTCTGTTCTTGAAGGATACAATGGTAACAACTTTCTTTCAAATGCTCAGTTTAATGTGATAAATTTCACATTTTCATATAGGGTTCCTGCCTTTCTACTTGCTATATTTCAATGCCAGGAGGTCATTTGGACTTGGGTCCACATTGTTGGAGTTTCTAATAAAATTAATGAGTTTCAGATTAAATGTGCTGAGGCAACTGAGAACACTCAATTGAGGCTGATTTATTTTGAATGCTCATCTCTTGTACTGCCATTCAGAAGTTTCTGCACCTGACAAGATGTTTTGTATTTCTCTCAATTTGTTCAGGAACCATTTTTGCTTATGGACAGACTGGAACTGGAAAGACATTCACCATGGAAGGAGTGCGGGCTGTGCCTGAACTGAGAGGAATTATTCCTAATTCATTTGCTCATGTATTTGGCCACATCGCAAAATCTGAAGGGGATACCAGGTAAAATTCTGTCATGGGATATTTTTAGATCTTGAGGACACCAGTGGTTTTTCTGCAAATAAGTGTTTTATCGGTTGTGTTTTAACATATAATAATAATCCTTGCATAAGAGCAAGGAAACTTGCCTCCGCTCAGCGGGCACTGGCCTGCTTCACATCCCACATTTACCATTACTGGGCTGGCCTTCAGCCTCTCTGCCCCCACTCTCTGGAACTCTTATCTCACAGTCCCTCTGCCTCACCCCCTTCCTTGCCTCCTTCAAGACCCACCTCTTTGACCATGCCTTCGGTCAGCCTCTTACCCTACCCTCCCCTCCCTCTACCCTTCCTGATTGCAACCACCAGTTCTGGCGCGGACCCCTGACTATCCAGCGCCTTGGGATGTCCTCCTGGTGTGAAAGGCGCTATTGAGATATAATTTGTTGTTGTTATTCGTTCAAAGATTAAATATTTTATACTCTCATTACATGGGCACTTTGTGGCTTTGTTCTCTTTGGGTGTATAACATGGTCCATCAAAGCATGTAAACAGCATCCAGTATCTTAAAACATTGCTACATTGTAAATTATTCATAATAATAAATAATCCTTACCATCTTTCACATCAAGACAAGGGCTCAAAGCACTTCATAAGATCTATTTAAGTTTTTTGTGAGTATATATGGAAATAAATCCTTGTTGCACAGAATTAAAGAAATTATATATGATTGTGTTTAGTCTATTAATGAATATCTCTAAAGTGCTCAGTTGTGAACCCTTACAAATAGTCTTTGCTCTGTTAATGGAATTGACATATTTTGTACAATTTTCACAGCGCGTCTGTAAAATAAATACTTTTATTTACAAGCAAAGCCTGTTTGTAATCTCTTCCAAACTGGCTCAAGTGGAAAAAGCAAAACACTGCTTTAAAAATTACCACATTCCTGACCACAATTCTGTTTACTTACATCAGTATCTGCTGATCTCTTCTCATGAGTTGGTGGTGCGTAGGGAGTGCAAACACTTTCAGTAAAACACAGGTTTATTGTTTGCCTATAGCAGGACGTATCATCTGTGAAGTCAAACCACAGACGGGCAATCGCGGTCCAGATAATTGGGAACAATATGTTTCTTTATGGAATCATTTTAGGCGACTGTGAAGAAGAAACTATTCTTTTTTTAAAAAAATGGTCATTCTGAATGCTGCAATTGGAATGTTGCCCGTGTAGATTAGCTGTTTCATTTGTGTTCTTTAAGATATTTGGATGTAATAAGTATACTGTTCTAATTGTGCTGCAACCTTTGTCTTAACCTATATCATGCAGTGATGATAAACAGTAGCAACATAGAGCACGAGTTTGATTCTTTATTCACATCCATTTCCAAGGTTTCTGGTGCGAGTATCCTATCTAGAGATTTACAATGAGGAAGTCCGCGACCTTCTTGGGAAAGATCAGACTCAGAGGCTAGAGGTAAAAGTTCAAGTGACATTCAATTTATGTCTTTGTTGTCCGATAAAGTAATCGAGAGGAAGAATAGTTTAGTTTATTTTTGAAGAGAGCAGAGATTATAATTTACTTGTGGGGAGGAGAGAAGAAATTAATTTAACAGCAGAACAGATGAATTCCTATTATTCTATTGCAACTTTGAAAAACTTTGTCAGGGTCCTGTGGTATCCTACAGTTAATCTCCCCAGGAACCTCATGACTTTGTAGTTTGCATCATTCGTTTTTTTGCCTAATTACAAAACTATTTACATTTGCATATAGTCTTTCTTTCGTGTCAGTAATTGCTTAATTGTGTAAGTAACTTACTCAGTCCATTTCGAGGTATTTAGGCAGTCTTTGGCAGTCTTGTTTCTACGGTTATTTGTGATTTTTCTGTGTGTTTGCTGGACAGGTTAAGGAAAGACCTGATGTTGGGGTGTACATTAAAGATCTCTCTGGATATGTTGTGAACAATGCGGATGACATGGACCGTATCATGACTTTGGGCAACAAAAACCGTAAGTTGAGAAAAATAAAAATGCTATTGATGAGCAACATTATTTTAAGAATCCCATTTCGACCCCATGATGCTTATTCAATCTTGTGGAAATGTATGCACCTTTTGAGTAAACTGTTTTACAGCAAAAAAAACATTTTTAACCAAGTGTTTTGTTCAGATTGATTGAGTGATTGATGCATTTCTCAACCGGAATGAAAATAAACAGTATTCCCTATTTCTGGACATGATAATGGACGCCTAATAATAATCCCTCCAAAAACAATAATAAATTGGTCATTTTCAATCTACGACTGTTTGTGGGACATTGCTGTGCGCAATTGGCTGCTGCGTTCGCCCACAAATATACAGTTAATTCACTTTACAGTGTGTTCTGTGAAGCGCTTTGGGACCTCCTCCCGACGTGAAAAGCGCTATATCAAATGCGAGGATTATTATTATTATGATTTGATCCTCAATTCAAGAGAGATTTAGAAATCCGCTTTTATTCTAAAAGGAACTGTACAGTGATATTGCGAATATGTTCTGCTCTTTCCAGGTTCTGTCGGGGCCACAAATATGAATGAACATAGTTCCCGTTCTCATGCTATCTTCACCATCACTATCGAGTGCAGTGAGAAGGGAGTCGATGGGAATATGCATGTTCGCATGGGCAAGCTGCACCTTGTCGACCTGGCAGTAAGAATAACTTGAATCTTATCCACTGCATTTAGAGATCAAATGCTTTCACCCTTTTATGTTGACTGCAACATGGTAACTCACTTGAAGACGCTTCCCCACCTGTGCTATTGTATTCTACAACATTCCTTCAATCTAGCATGTTTTTAACAAAAACATTAACATCACAAAATTTGCCTTGACAATTCCCCCATTTCTGCAATTTCCTTATGTTTCTGTGTACACTTGGACAGATTAAGACAATAGATATTCATGTTTCTGTGTTCACACAAGTAAGAACAATTTAAAAAAGATATTCTATGATTTACCAAATCTGCTGTTTCTCTGCACTTTGCCCGCGCTCTCTCTCCTTTTTTGCCACTTAATCCCTACCAATTTGCCCCTGAGATGAGCAGTCTGAGATGCCACTGATTCTTGCTACTCAAGATCATTTAAAATATTTTGCAATTTAGATAGTGATGGCGCATTACGAAAGATTATGAACTTTCATTGTGGTAGATCAAATAAGGCCTGTTTGCTACATTGCAAACTTATGGTTTTCTTAATTGCATCAATGTGTTACAATTCACTTTGCTGTAATTACCCATAGGGTTCAGAAAGGCAAGGAAAGACTGGCGCCACAGGACAACGGCTAAAGGAAGCAACAAAGATCAATCTCTCATTGTCTACTCTGGGTAATGTCATCTCTGCTCTTGTTGATGGCAAGAGTACACATGTCCCATACCGCAATTCCAAACTGACCCGTCTGCTCCAGGACTCGCTGGGAGGCAACTCGAAGACCATGATGGTGAGGGAGTCTTCTCTACTGTTTACATATTTAATACATTTCAGGATGGTTGAGGTATCTATTTTATTTGTACAGTGATTCATTTAAACAAATTCACAATTAATGAGGACAACTAGATTCTTTATACAACTAATTCTACCTTTTTTAAAGAAACCAACGTTAAGCATTTATTGTTAATAACTCATTTTTTTAGAAATACTGGTAGAAGTGTATTCATTGCTTTGCATCTACAAATAGATTTTGTTAGAAGTTGCCTATTTGATCTTTCTGTACAAGATAAATATATTTAAATGGTGAAGATTGCTTTGACTGATTAACCTTCGTGATCAGTGGAACCCTCCCTGCAGTCCTTTTGCTTCTTTTAAAAAAACTTTATCTGAAAGGATGGCTGGGTGAAACCTGTTCCTAAGACCTGTGTTGACACTGTGAGAAGTGAGACACTCAGGGATGAGATTCCTCCCACCTTTTGTTTGGTATCTTCTCCCAGCAATGTACCTGAGATTGAGAATAAGTAGCAGAGGGCAGTTAATTAAATGTTGTGCATTTAAACATTTTGCTGTTTGGAACAGTGTGCGAACATTGGCCCAGCGGACTACAATTATGATGAAACCATTAGTACTTTACGATATGCAAACCGAGCCAAGAATATCAAGAATAAGGCCAGGATTAATGAGGACCCCAAAGATGCCCTGTTGCGTCAGTTTCAGAAGGAGATTGAGGAACTCAGGAAGAAATTGCTGGAAGGTATAATGCCTATCGTATCATTGATCTATGAATTAAATAACTTATAACGGATCTCGATGTGCAGCTCTGTAAAAGACAGCTTATAAAAGTTTTAAAATTATTTGCAGGGGAAGAAATCTCTGGTTCAGATCTCACTGGCTCCGAAGATGATGACGAGGAAGGTGAAGAAGGAGAAAATGGAGAGAAAAGAAAGAAACGAAGAGGTAGGCATTCTAAAATAAATTTGATTAAATTCTCATTTGATCATTAATGTAGTGAATAGTGAAGTCATGGGTGGGGAATCAGCATCACGCTCCTAGCACAGGTATAGCACTCAACAGACAACTGTAGAGTAAAGCTCTTCCTCTAATCTGCTCCAGTAATGTCTCAACACACATCTTAGAAAAGCATTCTCTATTGCATTAGCGTGATGTTTCTGTTTTGTACCCTTGAAACAAATTAGTCCTAAAAAAAGATAATTATTTCTGTATGCTTGTGGTCACTGGGCTAATATTGTCCATTTTCTACCGCCAGAAGAGACAGACTTTCAATCCCTTAGTCAACCTGCGATTTGAATTAAGCTCCCACAAAGGAACTGTGCATTAATCCATTTCTCCCACCTCTCTGTGACCATGTATTGGAATATCTTTCACAAGACTCGTATTCACATGTGTTTCAAACCCATTCTTATTTTATAAAACTCATCCGCTTTAGCTTTCCGTTTCCCTCTGTTTGACTAATACTTTGGTCCATGTGGAAGAAATGTAACTCTACTGTTTTACTTTTTCTCCACTTTCCTGTCTGTATCAACCTACAGGTAACTGAATCGGTCTGGCTAGTCTTTCTCTAACAAATCCTGATGTCCGCAACCTGATTCCAAAAGTCTCAATATAAATGGCACATGGGCTTTCCAGCTCTTTTATGCAAATCAACATTCTATTTTTCGGTGAAACGCGTTGAATCAATTTAAATGCACGTTCATTTTCTTTAATAACCGCTGACTTTCCCAAACAGCAAGTGGTACGCAGACTGTTGCAGCCTTCAGCTTATTTGATCATTTTCCCTTTAGTGGTTAAAATGAGTTCTAAGGCCTGCTGTTCATCTCACTGGTTTTCTCTTTCCCTTGGTTTTCTTTGGGACTTGTCTTCTCTCTTGCAGGCAGCAGCAGTAGCTCTGACTCCACATGCTCTGTCATAGAGAAACCACTGGATAAATCACTGGCTAGTGAGTGGATGCTCTTTAACACTTCCTGTGAGCGTGGTCCAGGCTGTTCTATCTCTACTGCTTTGTCCTTTCCAATCGCTCCTTTCCCGCACAGTAAAGTGCACTTTTCTACAGGGGTGGAAAATCCAACTGGTCCAAGATCCGAACTAATAATCTTCGGGTTTCAAAGCAGTAAAATATAAGCGTCTGAAAACATAAGGAAATAATCTGCTGCATTATATCATTGTAGTTTTAAACACTGGATGTTATTTTGCTAATTTCACTGCTGTAACAATACTTGGAAAGGTGATCTTTATGAATGATTTATATCAAAGCCCATAGAATGCATTTAATTTTCTTACTAGATCAGTGGATCAGAACGGTTTTGTTGAGTTCAATAAGATATGTTATTAGGTCCTGGACCAGTATATCCCGAGAAATAAAATATCAATCCTTGCTTGAGCTTTTCCTTTTCCAATTGCTTTAACGAGAGATAAAGAGACCAGAAAGCATGTGTAAGATATGTGCATTCCATCACTGCTTGAGAATCCCCCGCCTATCATTCATTTCACCCACTGATTTCAAGTCACACATTCTGTTTCCCAGGCAAAAATGTCTGAAACAAGAACTGTTACTGGGGTATTTTTATTATTATTATTATTATTATTTTACATCATAACTTAAATATTTAGGAAAACAAAGCAAGAGATGTCCTACTGTTTGTATTCAGTAAGTTAGCACCAGAAACCATGTTTCATTATCGCAGTCACAGTAAATGAACGCAGTCTAAACCGGGACCTGTGTCAATGAGTCTGCTCTGCTCTTTTGCAATGTGTTTTAACAACTTACTGAGTTTCATTTCATGCAGCTCAGCTGTTGCAGTTGATATCAAATGCGTCACTGAATGCAGGTACCCATGGACATTGTATAGTAACAAGTCAATTTCATATTGCTGAGACGTAGCAAAAATTTGATAACTGGACTTAGACTAATGACAGCTTAATATTAAAACAGCTTCAATTTAGTGCTGGGCTCAGTATGGATTGTGAATGTGAGCTGCAAATTGTGTAAGAACTAAACTACTGAACAGAGTTGGATATGAGGAACTGTGTTAGTGGGAGAAGTTCAAATGGTGAATTTTCTTCAGTAGAATTTGATCAGTCCACAGCACTAGAAAATCATTATGTCAGGTATCTTTCTTTGCAGTATTTTCTAGACAAATAAATTTTGAAGTTTTTTTTATAATATATAGTATTTCAGTCTATTTAGTTTGAAGTTACCATTTAATTTATTTAAAAAATTACTCTGGGTGACTGGTTGTTTCAGAGAGGTAAAAAGACATTTCTGCTGTAAGGAAGAGTTGATGTGTTATTTGACAAAATGTGACTTGTGTTATTTTCCTTGAAAATATAGTCATTCCATCATTCTGGCTTTCATAACTTTTTTAAGTTTAATTATCCTTAACAGTGCTTTTCGTTTCATTTAATGTCTGACTATGAAACCACTCAACCTTTTCCCAACAGGGAACCACCAAACTTTGAGCAAAGGTGTGTGTCTATTTCTAGCTTGTACGTCATCCGTTGAGAAATGTAGTGACAGTTTTAAGATTTTTTTTTACATTTACATTCTAATCATGTCCTCTAAACAACACAGTACACATTTTGTATGGCTGAAGAATCAAAGGTATGTTACTGCAAGAGGTGAGATATGCTCACTATCTCTCCAGCTCTTATTAAGATACTTCCATGCACAATAGCAGAGAAGTGAGTATTATGTGTCGCACCTCATGAGTAGAGTTGATTACCGTATTTGTTCTATTCCTGTTTTAAAACTGGTTTGTTTCTACTGGCATCAAAAGCTTAGAAATATCAAACTCATCTCAACAAATTGCCAAGAGTTTGTTGGTACAAGATCAAGGTAACAAGTTTATTTTGGAGAGAAAAAAATGATTAGGGTTGCACTGAATAGTCTTGGCCTGTTTGGCCAATGGAAAGGAATCTAAATTTACAGTGACCTGAAAGTTCCAGAGAATAATTTAGGAAGAGGTGATGGGGTCTCGTTTAAGCACATTGCATAACAATACTCCTTTCTGTTGAATTACCTCGACAGTCCTTGAATCAAATCTGATGTTTCTTTATTTTGCAAAATCGATGATCTCCTTTTTGTGATTGTTTTCATACTTTGCATCTTTTCTTTTTTAAAAAAAATCATATTGAGGGAAATGCTTTCTCCGTTAACTTTCTTTTCGTTTTCTTTTTAGTGACAGTTAACACTTGCTTCGGTGATCAGTCCCATGTTGATTATTTTGGCTGTCTGAAATCCAGAAAATTATGCTTTAACTTGTCTTCCCTTTTTCCTCCTTCACACGCTGTTCACCTGTGGCTTGCTAATTTCTTCCTATATCAAGATCAACCAGGTTTGTAAGCTTACTTTTATAACGTTAATTATTCCGTTTTGTTTTTGCTTTTGCACACATGTTTGCTATATAGGCCATAGCTTGTGAGAGAACTGAACCTGGATCTTTATCTACCAGATGGGAATCTATCACTATTTGCTAAAGTGGCTATCTTTTATCTTTGTCTTTATAATGTAATCTTGACCCCGATGTACAAAGGAGAAATCTTCCTATGCAGCCTGCTGTGTGGATATATCGTGTTATTAATAGCAATAGAAATTGGTATCAATTGTTGAGCATTTTTATCTAGTATGTTGAATTCTTAAAAGACCCTGAAGGTGTCTCTTGGGCTAGCAAGCAGGTCCAGTTACAAAATACATTCAGTCAACGTAAACCTAGTCCTTCAACCTGAGAAATCCCAAATAATCAAATATTGACTCATGATTAAGTAAAATTATAGTTTATTATAATGTATTCTTGCAATTTGACTGACAAAATGTAAGCCTGTGGTCTCGTCTCGTATGACTTAAAGGAAGGAAGAAGGTGTCTCCTGAGAAGATGGTAGAAATGCAGGCGAAGATCGAGGAGGAGAGGAAAGCTCTTGAAGCTAAGCTGGACATGGAAGAGGAGGAGAGAAACAAAGCCAGAGCAGAGCTGGAGAAGAGAGAGAAAGACCTGTTAAAAGCACAGTAAGTCTCTAGAAACATGCAACACTCCAAGAATGTCATCTGGTATTCCAGTTACTATGTTGTGAGGCAAGGTTGACAGATTTAGACTTGTTCGGTTTGGAGAAAAGTAAAAATTAATCCTATGTCAGCTCCTTTACACAGGAATGTATCTTGTAAGTAACAGAATGGTCTCCCGAGGAGTTTGATTTGCTTCTGATTACTATAATTGTTGCTTTGTCATTTCTAAATGATCTAATTTTATTTGACAAGCTGTTGATGGTAGAATTGGACTCTGTCACCAGAAATATCAAATTAAGACTTGCTCTTAAATGAAACTCATCAATTGAGTTTATTTGTTATAAGTTTTTATTGCATCTATAATGGTGCAGCGCTGGATTCTTCCACTAGGTGTAGCTGACATATTGGTGGTGGCAGAATTGCAAGAATTATTTCATTTAAATCGCAGTTACGGAGTCTTTCTGTTCACGCTTTCCATTGCACCGCTCAGTAATAAGGAGTATGACTTCTTTGTTTAACGGTGGGAAGCTTACCAGTGCTCTGAGATGGTGAGCTTTGTGGTTTCAGCTGGTTCAACTCAAGCATTACCCTCAATGCACATGCACACTGGTGTCCCCAAGCCTTGACTCTTAAATTTTCCGAGATTGGATAAGCAGAGTGTCACGTGCCTCTAGGAGGAGAGTACACACACACCAGCCAACCTGAGACGTATGTGGGATTCTAAATAGTTGATTCTAAGCAGGATGATATGGGTTCCTGTGTGTGTCAGATACCTAACTGACCTGAAAAAAAATTATTAGCAATATAAACCCAAAAGCCCCTGTCAAAATCTACATCAAGACAACAATGAAAAAGATCGGCTAATATTTCAGGGTGCGATTAATTGAGTAAAGGGTCTTCAGCCATATCTCTTGTAAATTAGATGAATTCAAGTCTGTAACCAATACTCCTGTGTTTTTTTTCACGTATCAATAAATTATAAAATGCCTGAGTCTGAGGCCATATTGAAAAGAATTTATGTAGTAATAAATAAATCAATAAATTGTGGTGAAATGGATCAAATTTGTTGTCCCTCCCAAGGCAGGAGCATCAGACGCTGTTGGAGAAACTGTCAGCTCTGGAAAAGAAGGTGATTGTGGGAGGAGTAGATCTCTTGGCCAAGGCTGAAGAACAGGAGAGACTCCTGGAGGAATCGAACTGCGAGCTGGAGGAACGCCGCAAAAGAGCCGAGCAACTCCGGAAAGAGCTGGAGGAAAAAGAGGTAGTGACATTTCTAGATGAATGAGGTTTATTCTAAATAGGTTTCCAAGTCCTTGTAATACTGGAGATTTCCAAGTTACTGATACAGACTACATTAAGTAATGTTTTCCGTGTTAAGCAAATGTGTGAATCTTTCATATACTGGTGCTCCCCCCTGCTTTGTTACCACTAATCTTTTCTTTTGAATAAACTAAGGGCCATTTGTGGTCTCTATTTTTCATTAAATAGCAAGAACGTTTGGACATTGAGGAGAAGTACACCAGTCTACAAGAGGAAGCCCAGGGAAAGACTAAGAAATTGAAGAAAGTTTGGACGATGTTGATGGCAGCAAAGTCTGAGGTAACAAATTGATACTAAATACTAATACTGAATGTTCCTATGTTCCTACATACGTTTTTAGTTTTGTGTGTGAAAAAGCAGAATAAGCAATTCTATCTCAAGAACATCAACCATTAGATATGAACTTTATGAACATTGTATTGCGGTTGGCTTCAGAGAATTTTTAGATGATCTTTCAGAACCTCAACAGAAATGACAGCCGAGGCAACTTTAAAAATTAAAAAATGTTTAATTCAAGATTAAACTGTGGTGGAGGACAAACCCGTAAAAGGAAACGTCATAAATAAATAAAACTTAGTGTGAAATAAACACATTTCACCAGTCTTTATTTTGTCTAGTGATCGGTTTGGAAAACCTTTTTATTTGGCCTGTGTTTATGACAATCAGTGGAAATCCAGTACTAATGAAGGCTAGTTCCATAGCCAATATTCTTTTATCACAAGCCACTGTCTACCCCTCTATTGGTGTATGACAGCCTGTGCCTCGTGTGGTGCTATTGTTTGTTACACTGTTCTGGTTGTTCTTGTTCAAAGATGGCAGACTTGCAGCAGGAGCACCAGCGTGAGATTGAGGGGCTACTGGAGAACATCCGGCAGCTGAGCAGAGAGCTACGTCTCCAGATGCTCATCATTGACAATTTCATTCCGCAAGAATATCAGGTTGGACCAAGATTGCATTTTTCTTTGCTTTTATTATTTGTTCATCCAGGGCACCACCGATTCACTATGTCTTACATGTAATGTTTGACTTTTACAGTCCAGGAATGATTTTAAGACTCTCACAGTTCAGGGATTGGGCCAATTGTGAACTCACTTCTGTTTTAGACTTTCCCTCAGTCCACTGACGAACATTAGGTGCTGAAGTAGCACCAGTTTGATGCAGATGTGTGGCTCTTAGTGTCTGGACATTTGGATGTGAATGACGTGTGCCACCAAAAATAAAGCTTAATTTCACCTGTGAAATTCCTAACGTTTCCATCCAGTGACTTATTTGTAGGGTTTGTCAGTTTTTGATTTTTATTTTTTAAAATGTTTGATGGACAACATCAAGGTTTATTTTACTTTTTTTCAGATTTAAGACATTCCTTTACACTTTGGCAGCAACAAATAAAAGATGTGCAGAACGCAAAATACTGCAGATGCTTAAACAAAAACAGAAGTCGCTGGGAACACAACAGGTCAGGCAACATCTATGGAAAAACGAAAGTGAGTCAACATTTCGGATCCACGACCCTTCGTCAAAACAGCTAATTGTGAAGGTTCATAGTGCGTTCTGACGAAGGGTCGTGGACCCGAAATGTTAAATCATTTTTCTTTCTCCATGGATGCTGCCTGACCTGCTGAGTGTTTCCGGCAACTTCTGTTTTTTGTAAAAAAAATGTGCAGCTTTGTCTCAATAAGTGTGTTTGTGATTTGTAGGAGATGATTGAGAATTACGTACACTGGAATGAAGACATTGGAGAGTGGCAGCTGGTAGGTTTACACTGTCTAATCGGGCCACTAATTCAATAGTGATTAATGCTAATTGTGAGGGTTCATAGTGCCTGTAACTACAATAACAACAATGTGCATTTATATAGCGCCCTTCACACTGGGTAGCATCCCGGAGCGCTTTAACTGAAATGGTAGTGGAGCAAAGACTTGCCATTCAAACCAGGTATCTTATAACTAGATAACATATATCGGGAGCTCCCCTGATGATCACTGAATAAAATTGCTGTGTGGTTACTGTACAGGTTTGATTTATGGTCAGTGCTGAGTTTGCTGATCTCGGTGAAGGGTGATGGTGAGTGCTAGAATTGGTCATAGTACCTTGGCCTATGGGTATAGCAAACTGGTCACGTCCCCACTTTTTTACACTTGTTCTGCTGAAAGTGCACGTTTCGATGTTGCATGAGGACAGGATCAGGATTGTTGATGCTGTCCCTAAATTCAGATTACCACTTACACACTCAAAAGACTAGCCAATGTGGTATTCTGCCTTGCATGACTCACCTTCTTCAGCAGAAGAGCGAAAGGTGGAGGAGAGGAAATTGCTTCTCAACTGTATTCCAACAAAAAGAGAAAGTATTCTCATCTCATTCTCTTTCTATTCTCAGTTTAGCATTTGAATGTTTTAATGCCCATATTGAGACACAAAGAAATATAGCTTCTTGACTGAGATGATATCTGATTTTTTTCGCCGAGTTTGCATCTCTTAACTTTAATCTGCCGCATCAATCGTGGCATTTTTGATTTTTTTTTACAGCACGGCAATTTGTTGAATGCTGTTGTTTTATATTGTGTATAATAGCAAAGCCTCCGTAGCAGGTGTTGGCATTCCCTTTTGAGTTTAGTCAGTACTCTAGATCATTGCACCTGTTAAATATTGGATCCTAGAGTTTTTCACACCCAACTAATACTGTGCTTTCTGTAATGATTTGAGATGACAACCCAATGTATTCATGCAAAAAGCCAATCTAAATCAAACCTACAAAGTGGGATGTAATTTGTGCAAAAGTCTGTTGGCTGATATTAACTAGAGGAGGTAGGTCCCTTGGGTGGACCNTTTTTTATCGTTATTCAAGAGCTGGTTCTCCTCGGCCCTTGGCATGTCCATTTTACAACGTGATATCTAAACTGGGCTTCCTGTGCAAAAATAATACCAAACTGCTGCATTTACACACGGCCATTGTATACAGTTGATAGGAAAGCTATTCTAGTTTCCACCAATTCATTATTGTCCTATAGTTTGTATGATATGAGGGTTTTGGAAATCAGATGGAGGTTTGGAAGAATGAAATGCAATTTTGAATCTCAATAGTAATATTGTGAAGCATTTATATTAAACTTCATTTTCATAAACTTTATCATCCATAAATATTGTAACTTGTCTTATGTGGCATCGACTTGCTAACACTCATTTGCATTCTAACTGATTCTTGTCTGCAAACGTTTATCTAAAGAATCTGATCTAATATCTCTACAATGTATTTTGTGCACTTTCCTTCAACATCTTGAGAAACCTTTTTGTAAAGCACAGGAGGAATCGAAAGCTTGCAAACAACTTAAGTTGATTTTAATCTTTTAAAACCAGTTTCCAGCACCATTTGATTACTTTTCAGTTCACTGCAAGACTGTTCTTCTAATTTTAGAAATGCGTGGCCTACACAGGAAACAACATGAGAAAACAGACCCCAGTTCCAGATAAAAAAGAAAAAGATGTAAGTTAATAAGTTTTGAAGTGGAGGTGATCTTTCTTTCACGACTGCTTTAGTATAGTTTATCCTCAGTCACGTTTCCACAGAGAAACATGTTTGTGAAATACAGACCCGAAGGAGGCCGGGGGGGAGGGCAGGAGGGAGGGCAAGTGGGGAAGGAGGGTGATCGAAGGCATGGTCGAAGAGGAGGGTCTTGAGATGGGTCTTGAAGGAGGCGAGGGAGGGGGCGAGGCGGTGGGACTAGCGAGATGCAGTCCTAGCGGGTGGGGTCAGAGTGGCTGAAGGCTCGCCCGCCAATTGTGGGCTGGGTGAGGGTGGGGAACGTGAAGCAGGCCGGAGCCCGCTGAGCAGAGGGAGCTGGCAGGTTGGTAGGGGGTTAGGAGGTTGCAGAGGTAGGGGGGCTTTGAAGATGAGGACCAGGATCTTGAACTGTATCCTCTATGTGATGGGAAGCCTGTGGATGAGGATGGGGGTGATAAGGTCACGGAGCCTGGTGTGGGAGAGGATACGGGCTGTTGAATTCCGGATGATCTGCAGCCTATGGAGGGAGGAGTTGGGGAAGCTGACAAGCAGGGAGTTTGCATAGTCAAGACTGGGTGTTATGAATGCACATATGAGGGTTTCGGTGGCCTGTGGTGTGAGACAGTGGCGGAGCCGGGCGATCTTGCAGAGATGGAAGGTAGAGTGGGTCATGGCGCAGATAGGCGGTAGGAAGGATAGTTCAGGGTCAAACAAGACGCCAAGGTTCCAGAATGGCTTATTAAGGTGGAGTGTGCATCCTTGGATGGTGATGGTGTCAGTGCCTGAGGTGAGGAGGCGCCAATCGGGAGCCAATCAGGAGGGCCTCGGTCTTGTTGACGTTCAACTAAAGAAAGTTCGCTCTCATCCAGGACTTGATGTCTGACAGACATTCTGTCAGGACAGCAGTGGGTCCTGGAGTCAAGGGTGGAGGCAGAGAGATAGAGTTGGGTGTCATCCACATACATGTGGAAGTTGACCCCATGTCTGCAGATAATGTCACCAAGAGGGAGCATATAGGTATTGAAGAGGAGGGACCAAGGAACTCCTCATGAAATGGTGCGGAGGGCTAAAGGAGAAACTGTTTTTGAAGATGAAGTGGAGACGGTGTGAGAGGTATGATCTGAACCATTCAAGGATAGAACCGTGAAGGTTGAGGTGAGAGGAGAGGCGGTGGAGGAGGATAGAGTGGTCAATGGTATCGAAGGCAGCAGGGAGATGAAGGAGGACGAGGAGGCAGAGGGAGCCCTGGTTGCAGCTGGACAGAATGTCTTTTGTCACTTGACCAGGGCTGTTTCTGTGCTGTGGGCGGCACGGAAACCCGATTATTATTAGGAGCGTGGAGTAAGGAAACTTGCCCAAGGTTTCACTCTGCTGGGAATCAAACCCAAGTCTCTCGCTTGCACCACTGAGCTACAGGACTCCACTATTAACTAGCGTAAAAGTGGGAAGGGAGAGATCTTATCTTATCTGTAAGGTGCAGTGCATTACAACATCAGAGGTGTGAAAACTCAGTGATAACAAACCGCTATTTTATGAGATCATGAGACAACTCTTTAGAAACTCTTAACCTCTACTTATTTGATGAAGTTGATTGATCTAAAAGGATGTTTTACAGAAATGAAAGATGTAAATATTTTATTATTTCACTGTCATTCACGCTATGTACTTCCGACTGGTGAATGTCCTTCAGCCTCAAGGTGTTGTATCTTTGAAGTCCTACTGAATGTTAGATGAATGAAATATCAGAAACTAAATAAGCTCTGCCTTCAGAAGTCCCGAAACTTGCACTAAAATCATTTGTAACATGTCTTTATTACTAAAGTGAAACTGGCTTTCACTTTGTTTATTTTTCTATTATACGCATTTATCGTTGCAGCCCTTTGAAGTGGATCTGTCCCACGTTTACCTGGCATACACTGAGGAGAGTCTTCGACAATCATTAATGAAGCTGGAGAGACCCAGAACCTCAAAGGGAGGCAAATCCAGACCCAAAACTGGCAGAAAGTGAGGCCACACTGAAAACATTCACTTGAATGGAATATGTTTATTTAAGAATGCTACGATTGGATTTACATTTAAGATTTGTGAATTTTATCTGCTGTGTTGCTGAAAGACTTTCATTTCTGAGATAACATAGTTATGCAATGCAATGGAGCTCACAGAGCAGTGATATCTTTTGCATACTAGTCACTTATGTCAGTTGTGGAGAGATCTAAATCAGAGAGCAAGCTCTCCCTAACCCCTCAATGCAGGGAAGAGCGAGAGGAGCATTCACCACTTTCAAATCTTTCCTGATGTCTAGCTTCACATCACAAAGTTAAGACCAGATTATGAGCTGTTGTGGAATGATAGCGAGATACTATATGCAGTAGATTTACACTTGTTCATAGATATAATTTTATCAATGTTTCAGTATAAATGGAAGTTTCAGTACAAATGGAAACGATCAGGTACATTGAATGCAGGCTGTGCTAGTTCTTCTTGGAGCTTTGTTGCTGATTAAAATGGCAAAGTACTTCAAAAGCCTAATGCTATCTATTTTTCTCCTGATCAGGAAAAGATCTTCAAAAACTGAAGCTGGAATTGACTCCCTTCTTCAGTGAGCAGGGCACCCGGCCGAATAAGGTGGACGGACCAGCTTTTAGACGGAAAATGTTTCCTGACAATGAAGAATGATCACTGTACAAAGAACAAAATGGCAGCTTGATGCCAAAGCACTGAGTCTCGAACCATACACGCTGGGGTCTCATTTGAGGTATTAATATGAAACGTGCCGTCATTGAATTTCTAAAACCAAAGTGCTGTATTCTTCAGTTGATGATTTAGAAATGTCATTATTACACGTATCATATTCAGAAGTGGATTTTGAGAAACACTCCCAAATTTGACCTGACTAACTGTGAGAAGAGATGGAAAAGAACCAGGGCTTGAATTTAATGCTACCCGATAAAGTGAAAAATACTAGGGTTTTTTGGTGATAGTTGGTCAGTCTTCCAGTTGCTATCAAAAGGTTGGTAGCGGATGTTTACAACCCAATGTTTTAGAATCCCACTATTTAGTCTTCATTTAGTTCTTGTCATTGGTCTTGGTATGTATTCCATTTGGGTTTTTACTTGTGGAATAGAGAATGTGACAATGGCACTTAAACTATAAACACAAATTGTGCTACTACCTGTGAAAGAAATTAGATTCAAACCCTGATTTAAAGTTTTCACATTGAATGAATTGAAAGGACTTCGACTTCTGAAATGTACCAAAACATGCAACTTCAGGATAAAGTAGTTTTCGCTGTGATCGAGCTAATCTGTTCAACCCAATTTGGCTGTAGCTTTATGTTTAGTTTTGTTCTGCGAGACGCAGTTGAGCCCTCAAGGTTTGCACAAAAGATTGATTTTAAAATATTCCCATTTGCCTTTTATTTCAACTGACTGTTTGCACTAGATTCTTTTGCTTTTTACTGATCGATACACAAGTAGAGCGATAGGCTTATAGATTTAACATTAAAACTGAAATAAATTTATTAGTGATAATAAAAATATCAGGCAGGTCATTCATTTAATAAAACATTAAGACTCTTTCAGCTATTTGAACAGTCAGTTAAGTGAAATAAGCTTTCAATCAATTTTATTAAGTATAGGATTTGCTGCTTCAGACATGTTTGTGGGCATCATTAAAGAATATTTCTGTTTACAATAATTCATCCAGTACTAAAATATGGACCCCTATTTGCTTTATGATCTGTAACTATCAGATTGCTGTGATTTCTCATGCAGCTTATAGCCATTTGTTAATTGGAACGTGGAAGAGAGAGGAGGAACTTTTAACACAGCCCAACATCAAGAATGGTTTAGAGCAGTGGTGGGCAACCGTTTTGGTTGGCGAACCGAATAAATGCTTCTTTGCTTATTCAGTAGCTACTGGAAATAAAACGTTGAATAAACACAGACTTACCTAGACTGGTGTGAGTGAGTGTCAGGATACTTCCTGACATCTCTGTAGGCCATGTGTTGGTCACCACCGGTTTAGAGTAATCAAATGTCAGACTTTACACTCACACTGTCCTCCAGAATAGCTCGTGCGTGAAGATACGATTGTGCGTCCAATTTTTTTTCATTGAGAACCAAAATTCTCATATATCCTATTATCTTCAGAATATTATTTGAATGGAAATTCAATGCTGAAATGCTTTTATTTCACAGAGAAAGGAAAGGGCCTTTGTTCATTGATCAGTCGTGCGTCAGGCATATTTGGTTTTCCTGTTTTTTTTTAAAAAAATATCCAATTGCCCTTGGCTGCTTGTCAAACACATCTTCTTATCCTCTTGCATATCTCAATTTAGCAGTAGGCATTAAGTGCAATGATGTTGCGTGACATGTACACAATATGAGAGTTTGTCACTGTGTTTCAATGATGTGTACATGGATGTATTTGTCTGTTACTGTGACAAAGTGTTGTAAAATGGTTAAAAATCATTAGCATGGTTCTTTTAAAAGCACTCCATTCTAGGGGTTTGCATGAGGCACTTTTTGGTTAGCGAGCACCTGAATAAACCTAAACCTATCTTGAGGTCCTTTACTTTATCTGCAAGTGACGTCAGTGCAAATAGCACAGTGCCTTCTTGCTACCACTTATAGTAATCTACACATGTTCTGGTGAACTCCACACCAGTGTAGTTGCTTATCCTAATACTAGGTTGTATAGTGTGATTAATGGAGAGGTCCCTAGGTTGTGCGTTTCTTAATTTTGTTGGGACTGACATCTCCAAAGATTTTCTTGTGATTCAGTACACTAGATTCAGGAGCGGTGAAGCAAGCTCCAGACAAACTTGTTTTTTTTAAACAAAATGGTTATTTCTGTGTAATCTGTTATGTATAAATTGTGCAATGTGTGTTGTACATATGAGAACTTGTATATGTATATATACAGCATGTTAATGTCATAAATAAAGAAACCTCTATACAATTCTGTGTGTTTTCCTTCTAAAACCGATTTCTGTACACGTGAGGTGCTGGGACCAAAATCGAATGTTCTACAATGGTCAAAAGATCAGAAAGGTTCTAGGTAGTAACTACAGTTATTTAACGAATTGCAATGACCTGAGAAAAATCTCAGAATTGCAGATCTCAGAAATAATTTATGAGCATGGTACTCTGTTTGGTTTGGATATTCTTAAGCATGGCTATGCGTTTTTGCATGTGTCAGACACCCATCTGACCAGATAAAACCCAGAATACTTTCCAACGATTTCCATTTATATGCACCTTTCGTATCAGGAAGATGCTTCAAAACACTTCACATTGAGCGAGACAGTTGCAAGGATATTTGTGGAGCTATTAGAATGGTTGCGCTACAGGGTGCAATAGGTTTGGGAAGTTTCCTAAAGCGGTTTGGTTTACAGACATTTACTCTAAATTGCACGAAGTGGTTGGATTTTGCTGTTGGGTTATGTTATGGGGGTTTCCTTCCTCTCTTTATCAGCCCAGAGCAAGACCTGTGCTTGCGAATCAATTATCAGATTTTGCTGAAACTGTGAAATGATTCATTTCCGTAAATCTTGGCCTTGTTGACATTTTTCTTATGGCCATTCGTGGGGTTTTCTTTCACTTGGATAGAATAGACATTAACGTTGCATTCACTTCTCATCTTCCGGTCGCTGTGCGATGAAGAAATCTTATCGAGAATTCTTCGCAGCATATTGCAAATTATGACTAAAAGTGCCAGAAGGTGCAATTCCTCAGGGGACATCAAACACAAAGCCTGACAAACGCATCAAGTCGGAATAGAAATAAACATTATCACGTGTAACACAGTTTCATTACTGCTGATAAAGTCCACTTATACTAGATCTGGTATCAGAAAATTATTCGCAACACGGTGGCTCATTGAAGAATTGCTATTTTCCATGACTTAAAAGTAAGCAAAAGTGACAGCAAACATAGTTTTTGTGCATTCACATATATAAAATATAAATATTCTTGCATTCGATATAGTGCCATATCACGTCGTTGAGATGTCACAAAGTGAGTCACAGAATCTACTGGAAACTGAATTGACTGTCTTGTGGGTGAAATTTAAACATAAAAGATACCACATAGAACAGAGAATTTGGCTCACGCATCTTAGTGAGGTACAAGTTAGACTGGTTAAACATCAATAATGCCTTAGATTGTGATGGACCTGCCTAGCGTTAGTCATCTAAATGCTAACAATGTTTTTTCTATCAAAAGGCTGTGCGCTGCCCCACCTCCAATCTCTCCTTCCTCTCCAAGGTCCTGGAACGAGTTGTTGCTTCTCAGCTTCACTCCTTCCACTCCCGCCACTCCCTTCGTAAACCCTTCCAATCGGGTTTCTGTGCCGCCAACAGCAAAGTGACAAATGACATTCTCCATCTGCGACCAGGGCTTCCTCTGCCTCCTCGTCCTCCTTGACTTTTCTGCTGCTTTAAACACTGTTGACCACTTTATCTTCATCCACTGCCTCTCCTCTCACCTCAACCTCCACAGCGCTGTCCTTGATTGGTTCAGATCGTACTTCTCACACTGCCTGCACTTCATCTCCTCAAAGGGTTTCTCCTCCAGCCCCTGTACTGTCTCTTGCAGTGTCCCTCAGGGCTCTGTCCTTGTCCCCTCCTCTTCAATATCTATATGCTCCTCTTGGTGACATTATCCGCAGACATGGGATCAACTTCCACATGTATGAGGATGACACCCAACTCTATCTCTCTGCCTCCACCCTTGACTCCAGGACCCACTGCTGTCCTGACAGAATGTCTGTCAGACATCAAGTCCTGCATGAGAGCTAACTTTCTTCAGCTGAACGTCAACAAGACCGAGGCCCTCCTGATTGGCTCCCGTCAGCGCCTCCTCACCTCAGGCGTTGACACCATTACCGTCCATGGTTGTGCACTCCACCTTGCTAAACCAGTCTGGAACCTTGGGGTCTTGTTTGATCCTCAACTATCCGTTCTACCCCACATCTGCACCATGACCTGCTCTGCCTTCCCCCATGTCCGCAACGTCGCCCGGCTCCGACACTGTCTCACACCCCCGAAACCCTCATACATGCTTTCATTACATCGAGGCTTGACTATGCAAACTCATTGCTTGTCAGCCTCCCCAACTCCTTCCTCTGCAGCCCGTGTCCTCTCCTGCACTAGGCTCTGCGACCCTCTCACCCCCATTCTTGCCTAACTCCATTGGCTTCCCATCATACAATCCCCTCCATCTTGCCCCCTCCCTTGCCTCCTTCAAAACCCACCTCAAGACCCTTCTCTTCAACCGTGCTTTCGATCTCTCTGCTTTGCCCCCCCCCACGTCCTCCACCCTCCTCCACCCCGACCCCTTGCTCGGGTCCGTAGCTCTGTCTGTCCAGCGCCTTGGGACGTCCTCCCGATGTGAAAGGCGCTGTACAAATGTAATTTCGTTGCTGCTGTTGCATAATGAACTATAGAATCTACCAACCAGAAATTTATGACCTACATTTGTGATTAGGACCTAAAATCTGTAAAAAAAAATTAACAATAATGTTAACGTCAGATGCAAGCACTGAAAAATACTTGACCAGGCTTTTGGATATCGTAGCAGACTACTTATAATACAGTTATGTTTTAAAATACCTAATTTGTAATGGGCTAACGTGGAATTCTTCTGTCTGTGGGGTATTTGTTTATGGTATTTGGAGGTGCTGGTAATTTATGCCCATTTTTGGATGTAAAAGATCCTTTATCTTATCTATAGCCCTGATCAGATTGTTGAAAGTCATTATATGCCTTTACCACCGTGACTGTCTTATGCTTTCGTTTGGTTTATGATGCCCTTGTGCAAAGCAATTACCGTAAATGTGCCTGAGGCTGCAAAATACTTAGCCACAGGATTACCAAAACGTCACGGCAGGGAATCTTTCATTCCAGAAATATTTGACGTGAATTTAGAACGTTATATTTTTTTTAAGAAAGAAAGGCTTTTATCTTATTCTTTCCTTCGTTAGCTTGGTGTCAGCGTGGCTCATTTGGTAGCCTCAAGCTCAGAACCTTGTGGGTTCAAGCTATGCTAGGACTTGGCATCGTGAGGACTGAAAATATTGAAGTTTGAAAGAAAACAGAAGTCGCTGGGAACATGCAGTGGGTCAGGCAGCGTCCACGGAGAGAGGAAAATAGGTTAATGTTTCAGGTCCGTGACATTTTGGCAGAACTCAATTAGATTTGTTGCAGAGGAGCATTGTCATTAAAACAGGAAATAAATGCATCTAAGTTGTCTCTCAAATAGCCAATTGGACCGTTCTCTTTTCAGAACAAACATTTCACTTGTTATCTCTTCTTGCTCTAAGACGCACAGTTTGTGTCGCCTCACACTGCGGTGAATGATTTGCCGAGAATTCTTTATCAACCCTCCCCTGCCTAATGATCTCGCAAACTTCAATCGGTCACCTCGAAGACTTCGCTCCAACTTCTACAAACCAAACCGAGCCAATTTCCTTAAGTTTTGCTCATTTGCTGCAGGAGTCCTGTAGCTCAGTGATTAGAGCACCCGCCTTGCAGGCGAGAGACTTAGGTTCGACTCCAGGCAGCGCGAAACATTGGGCCAGTTTGCTTACTCCACACGCCTGATAATAATCACTCACGAAAAAATAAGAGAACAAGAATAAAATTGGACACTTCAATCCACGACTGTTTGTGGGGACGCTGCTGTGCGCAATTGGCTGCTGTGTTTCGCCCCCAAAAATACAGTCAATTCACTTTACAGTATATTCTGTGAAGCGCTTTGAGACGTTTCGACATGAAAAGCGCTGTATCAAATGCAAAGATTATTATTGTTATAAATTCTTGTTGCCCAGAACCCTCGTGAATGTCCTTCTATGATCAACGATGTCCTTCCTGAAATGAAGAGACCAGAGAGCTTACACTATCCAGTTCAGTTTGAGTCTGACTAAGACCTTCTTTTGACGAACGGTGTAATTCCTTTTGATTTTCACTCATCACTTGGTTAAGAGAACCTTGTAGTGTGGGACGAAGGGTCTTCTTCATCTAAATTAATCATGTGAATGTAATGAATTAGAGAGGCAAAATTTGCATCTCAGTTTCATTTGTTCCAGGCAATTGTACTCTATTGTAGAGGTCACCACTACCACAATAACAACAACAATTTATATGTGTGTAGCACCCTCAAATTCAAGATCCTCATCCTCACCTACATCGAATTCAAGATCCTCATCCTCACCTACAAGGCCATTCACGGCCTCGCTCCCTCCTACCTCTCCGACCTACTATCCCCCAACAAACCTACCCGTACTCTCTGTTCCTCTGGCTCCGGTCTGCTCCACATCCGCCCCAACAGCCCTACCATCGGTGGCCGGGCCTTCAGTTTCTCAGCCCCGAGGATCTGGAACTCCATCCCCCATCCCCCCAAGCCTTCGCTTGGTTCCTCCCTTTCCTCCTTCAAGACCGGTCTCAAGAAGTTCCTCTTCGACCGTGCCTTCAGCTCCCCTCTCGACTCTACCCCCTCCTCGCTCCCTCCCTTCCCTCCCCTCACCCTGACCATTTCCCCCCTCCTCGCTCCCTCCCTTCCCTCCCCTCACCCTGACCATTTCCCCCCTCAATATATTTTATTATGGTACAACCACCTCAAGAACCAATAGAACTTGGAATTGACAGTCTAAATGGAAGTAGACATGTATCACTGCGTGAAGAATTATGTGCGAGACGTTTCTGGCATTGTTGCCCTTAAACAATACCTTCATATAATTCTTCGTCGAGGCATTATCAAAAATCTTATTTTGAAAAGCCCTTCTGTGTGAGTCACAATAATTTAATCATTGGTTAGCCACTGCCAATGAATTGAATGTACGTTTACATGTGTGCGGTTGCTCTACAAAGGGTTAAGATGATTTCCTTCCTGCCCATCCTACGATTATGAAATGCTCCACTTACTGAAGTGGTGATAATCTTTGATCAATCTGATTAGAGCATTTATTAGCATTTATTAGCAATTGGATGACTTGCCTGGGATTTTCCAACACGTTTGCTGAGTGGATAAAGGTTTTCCTTTAAATAAGAGCCTTTGTGGACCGTACCTTGATCTCCTGTCACTTGCTCGGGGATCGAAACATTACGAAGCAACATGACTATGATGCTGAAAATTTTGACTGTTCTCACTGCCATGCTGGCTGTCAGCTATGGAAAGGTTGACCCCAAGAAACATATCTTAAGGGAAATCACCAAAACTCTGGGACATATGACCCAGGACAAGGTATGTAGAGATTCCACCTTTACATTAAACACCAGAACAGCTCTAGATAAGCTAATTTCAGGATAGCCTTTGTAAAACTAGTGAGATCTAGATAAGATGCAGGAGTGGGAAATCTGGTTTGCGATATGATAATTATTTGATTTCAAGATCCTCATCCTCACCTACAAGGCCATTCCCGGCCTCGCTCCCTCCTACCTCTCCAACCTACTATCCCCCTACCTACCTGCCCGTACCCTCCGTTCCTCTGGCTCCGGTCTGCTCCACGTCCCCCGCCCCAACCGCCCTACCATCGGTGGTCGGGCCTTCAGCCTCTCAGCCCCGAGGCTCTGGAACTCCATCCCCAGTGCCTTCGCCGCCTCCTCCCTTTCCTCCTTCAAGGCCGGTCTCAAAACCTTTCTCTTTGACCGTGCCTTCAGCTCCCTCTCGACTCTCTTCCCCCTCCTCGCTCCCTCCCTTCCCTCCCCTCACCCTGACCATTTCCCCCCTCCTCTCTCCCTCCCTTCCCTCCCCTCACCCTGACCATTTCCCCCCTGCTCGGGTCATGACCCAACTGTGCAGCGCCTTGGGACGTCCTCCTGACGTGAAAGGCGCTTTATAAATGGAATCTTGTTGTTGTTGTTGTTATCAGAGGTAATAAGTAACGTATCACGTTCAGCATTTTTTCACTTAATTCGTAGAACTCAAATGACTCATAATCAATCCGTGGAAGGGATGATTTTGGGTGAGGGTCTCCTCTTTCCTTTGAGAGTGGTTAGAGCACTCGCCTCGCAAGCGAGAGGAGCTGGGTTTGATTCCTGGGTGGGTGCGAAACATTTGGCAAGTTTCCTTCTTCCACACTCCTCTGTTTTACCTAGCGACGTGAAAAAAGACGCATCTTGCTTGAGTGACAGAATCCTAATTTGTCTCTATTTTAAGAAATAAATCATGTAAATTTTCCTCGGTTTTGTGCCTTGTGAACACGAGAAGCTAATTGCTCCTTATTCCTTTCTTTGAAGATTGAATGTGGTGCTACTCTAATCCCAGATGTCTTCAGTGATACGAAGGTAAGTGCCATTGTTCTGTCCAAATGAGTCATATTTTAACGATCATAAGAAATTCACCAGATGCCTGATATTCCACCTCCTCTTAAGCTGCGAAACCTTTTTATCTCAAATTTAAGATAGCACGGAATTGTAAAAATCTCCTCCATTTATCTTTAATTTGGAAGCTGGTTCTTTTTTTAAAAAAGATTTCCTTACTTAACGCAATAATAATCCACGCGTTTGATATATAGCCTTATCGTGCCATCAAGGTGTCTCAAAGCTCTTCGTACGATATACAGTAATGTGGTTTTGACTGTACATTTTGTGCGCACAGCAGTGTCCCACAAACAGCCGTGAAGTGATCGACCAATTTTATTTGGGAGATTGTTTTAGGAATCTAGGAATCCATTTAATATATAAAGGGAAAAACAGCAACAAGCAACAACCTGCATTTGTATAGCTCCGTTCCTGTGGGGTATCGTCCCGGAGTGCTTAACGAAACACAAAACACTTATTAACAATAATAATAGTTGGAACTCATCAGAATCCAAGATAGTTTGCTCTTTGATGGCTTATTTTTATAATAGTTTAATAGGTTACAAGTAGACTTAAGGGAACATTTAAACCAATTTGTTCTATCCTGCTGGAATTCACTGTTTCCTGGTTCGTATTTTGAAGGTCTCTAATGAGATCAATGGTGTTTACTTACTGACGGAGTGATGATTTTGGTTCCCAGGGGCAGAGTGCATCGGAAATCTTTTGCAAGGCTGCCGAAGCTCTGGTGAAAATACCTCCCTGCGAGTCCATCAAACGTCACTTGAAGGCTCTGAGATTAAACTTAGCGAAGGAGGGTGAACAGGTGAGTCAAAGGATTGATTCATTCAGCGCAGGAATGACAAGACACACTTCTCATTTCTAAGCACAAAGTGCTCGATAGTAACCTGCATCATTCCAGAGACATTTTCTCTTCGGCCTCTAGAATTGCAACATTGGAAGGAAGCAATAATAATCATAATAAGAATAATCCTCCATTTAGTATAGCACCTTATCACGTCGTTGAGACGACTCAAGGCACTTCACAGAATATATCTGAAAGTGGCGGGTACTTTGTGGGCGAAACGCGGCAGCCAATTGCTCACAGCAGCGTCCCACAGACAGTCGTGGATTGAGTGAGTGACCAAATATTTTTTTTTGAAGGGCTTGTTGCCCTCAGGATCAAAATACAAGGATTATTCTAGCTTCCAGGACCATCCCTGGAGATAATCAAGTAATATGGATGCTTTGAGACAAAGACGACGCGATTTACAACAATAGCAACTTGCATTTATACAGCACCCCTCACTCAGGACAGGTCCCGTCCCGGAGCGCTTGTTTAAATAGCCATTTAAATAGCTTGCTGTATTGTACGATTAAGTTAAAGCCTCCTTTGTACTGTGTTAAGCATCAAACGTAACATTTTGTCTCTCTCGGTCGACAGACTCTCAGCTGCCCTGTGAATAAATTCTCTGAAATCGAGCTGACTACTTTCCTGAGGAAGTTGAGGAAGCTCTCGCAACAGAAATACAGACAATAACAGTTCTCCGACCACCGAAACGATACGCTTAAGATGCTTCACAGAGATTAAGAGGAATAGAAATCGCTTACAAGCCTCAAGCAGCTCATGATCTTAACCTGACAAAGACTCCCTCAAAATTTGCGATTGAGCGGTAAATTATTCAATTCAGTCTCACCTGGAAAGTTGGCCTTCCGAAGTTCTGTTTACGGAACGGTTTCCAAATTAGGACTTAAGATTGGATTTTGAATTTTTTCTCCCCCCAAAATACTTACCGGTCCACCTTAAGTGATGGTAAAAGCCGACGATCTTAAGACTCGGACCAGGGGAAATTTCAGGTCTCGGATTTANTTTTTTAGCCAACATCAGATACGCATAGGAATGTACCTGGGGACAGAAGAGGAAAAAAATAGCGGTCAATCTCACAGGTTCAACTGTTCATTTTGTGTCACTAAATGTTGCACCTCTGTTGTATTTGTGTAAAGGTTTGACTTGTGTGCAAAAAGCATAATTATCTGCTGAACAGTTTACTTGGCTTTAACAGTATTGATGTAAAAAAGATTGCTTAAAAAAGTTAACTTGCTTAAAATGTTAACAGCGTGTGCTCATTCATACGCTTGTGAAATAATAAATCCTTATAAGATATTGGTTTGGCATTTTAGTTTCATTTATTTTATAGCACACTCTTTTTTATAGCAATAATAATCATCATTACACTTGGCACAGTGCTTTATCACGTCAAAAGGATGGCTTGGAGGGCTTCACAGGATTTACTGTGAAATGGAGTGACTGTGCGCTTGTAGGCAGTACGGTTACCCACAGCTGTGTCCCATAAACAGCCATGGAGCGAGTGACCAATTTTATTTGGGGGATTGTTGGCCAAGACGCCGGTGGAGAGGGAGAAACTTCCTTCTCTTTTCGAATAGGCTCTCAAACCTCCAGCTGAACAGGCAGACGGGAACCTTAACGTCTCGTCCAAAAGACGGGTTCCTTTGTATTTTTTTCTTGCCAATTTACTGCCTTTTCTGAAGGTGTTTGATGTCTTTTTTTGTGCGAGCCAACTAAGGAGCAAATGAACTGGTTCAGCTGATCCTCTGATACGCTGGACAGTGTCGCAAAAGTAAGCATAACGGGTGAAACACATCAAATGCCCAACGTACGGACACTTTGCCTACAAAATAACACAACCACTACACTCTAACGTTATATCCTGTGAAGCGCTTTGAAATGCCCTCCCGACGTCAAAGGCGTTGTATCAAATCAAACATCATAGAATCATAGAATTATACAGCACAGAAGAAGGTAATTCGGTCCATCGAGTCTGTGTCGGCTCTTTGAAAGAGCTGTCCAAATTAATCCCATCCCCCCCCCCCCCGTTCTCTCCCCATAGCCCTGTATATTTGTCCTCTCTTTATGTTTTTATTATTATTATTATTATTATTATTATTATAATACCTATTAATTTTAACATGAGTGTGGTGGCAAGTTATTCAAGTGTGAGACCTTCACAGTTTAGTTTGATCCTACCCTCATCTGATGAATGCATTGATGGACTTCCCTTATGTGGTGTGTGTGTGTGTGTTTGGAGAAAGGGGGAATGTTTTTAAAGGTTGGGTGACGTTGATTAACAACAAGGAGCAGAAAACACTGGTTGATTCACCTCCTCAATAAACCAGAGGCACTTGTCTGAAAGTGCCTCACTTACCAGCGATCAGCTAACTGCTCAAACCAGGGATAGCTCCTCATACCTCCCCAGTTTACAGGATGGATCATCTCACTCAGCCAATGGTGGAGCCCACGCACAGATTCTCTTCGTTTTTAAGAAGGGCTTTTTTAATACCCAACATTGCAAAGGGTTTATATTGGTTTGTTCAGACTGGTCTCCAAACCATCGGTGGGCAGATTTCAACACCCCCCCACTCTTTGGAATTCCATATAACTTGCTTCCTCCCTCACCTCGTTCAAGGTCCACCTTAAGACCTACTTCTTTGACCGCGCTTTCACTCACCTTTCCCCTCCCTACCTCCATCGCCTCCCACTCTCAACTCGGGTGCCCAGCCACGATTGTTAAGTGACTAGGGACATTCTCCTGATGTGAAAAGTGCTGTGTAAATGTAAACTTGTATTGTATTGGCCTCCAAACCCCTTCCCCCAACTCCATCTCCTTAGCTGTCAGCCTGGCTCAATGGCATTTGAAATCACACAAACTCAGCTGACACTCCAATGGAGAGCTGGTGGGGTGGGTGTTATATTGTCGGAGATGCCGTCATTCAGTTGAGCCGTTAAACCAAAGTCCAATCTGTCTGTTCAGGTGGGTGTTAAAGATCCCATGGCACTACTCAAAAAGAGAAGGGAGTTTCTTTTCCCAGTTTACAGGCCAACAATGCCCCAAATAGAATTGGTTATTCATTTCATGACTGGTTGTAGGATATTGTTGTTCACAGATTGACTGATGGTTTCGCCTACAAAATACACAGTCACTTCAGTTGGTAGCCCTCTTGCCTGTAGATCAAAGGTTGTGGTTTCATGTGTGGAGTCAGGACTTGAAGTCATGAAAGGAGAAAACAATTCTTCTTGCAGGGAATAATAAGAATGTGGAACCACAGCCCCAGAGATGAGAAATACACTGAAGAATTCAAGTGAGAGATAGTTGCTTGAGGGGTGAAATGTTCAGCGATACGAAGGGAAATCAGACAGGTGGGATGAGGGAAGGTGAGAGTGAATAGCCTGTGGTGAAGTGGGTTTGATGGACTGAATGACCTTCTGGTCCTACATTCCTAAATTATATATTCCTTTTCTTCAATATTATAGGAGCTGTATCAAATATATTTATTCCACTCCAGGGCCACTAGAAGAGTCAGGTAATAATGATAATGATAATAATCCTTGCATTTGGGGATTTTCCTTCTGCTTTAACACACATCGTTGCTTACTGTTGCAAAATATATTTATTAAACTATCTTCGAGAAATCATTTCGGTAAGTTAGACACTAATCTTGAGAGCGGACGTTTGAAATCTCTCTGTGGTGGGTTATATGAGTTTCCTTCCTACCAGGGTAGGGGCAAGAGAGGAAGAGAGGGAGAACTGTGATTGCGTTTAATAACACCACAAATCATTGAATTACTCAATTGGAGATCTTTCTTTTCATTGTCATCTTTCTGGGGCTTTCCTAAGTGTTAGCCCAAATGGATATATAAGGAGAGGGTACAAGCCCTTCAACCCTCACATAGTTCTGGTGATATACGGTCACTTGTTGTTAACCCACCTGAACTCAATAACAAGTCTTGGCAAGTCAGTATGTCGAAGGCCGTGAGCATCATGATCGTTCTGATGACAGTCTTCGCCAGAAGCGACTGCGGAGTTCTGAGAGAGATATTATCCAAACGGCAGGCCATGGGGGAACTCATTCAAACTCTGTTACAGTTAACTGCAGGAGAGGTAAGACGTACGTGCCAACTATCTGTGCGAGAGCTGTTAAGCATGTTAATTCTAACTACACTCTAAGAAAGCTTCTTTGACTCTTGTTTGCTGGGGTGAAAGCCCCACTCCGACTCAGTCTCCACAAAGCGCTTTGAAGAATACTTCCCAGAGTCCCCTCGCCTCGCCCCCACCCCACCCCACCTCATTTGCCTCCTTCAAGTCCCGTCTCAGTCACAAGACACTCCTCTTCGACCTTGCCTTCGGAGACCCTTGTACCCTCACTCTCCCTACCCTCCACTCCTCCTGATCCCAATTCCCAGAACTTGGGACGTCCTCCCATTGTGATCGGCACTATACAAGTGCAGATTACTTTTGTTGGTATCCTGTATATTTCCTGTGTGTCCTGCCACGACCCGCAGTCAAAGCAGAGGCGATAAATTATTTTTGAAGGGAATTAGTTAGATGCTTGAAAAAGAGGGATAGCCAATTGTGCACAGCAGCATTCCCACAAACGGTCGTGGAATAATAATAATAATATAATGATAATAATAATAATGACGAATGACCGATGAGAAATGCATTAGCTTTAATTTTGAACGGCTTGCCTTTGAATTATACCATTCTGTGGTTCTGACTGTGGAAATGATTGACATAAGTAAATGAATCTGATTCCCGATGAGAGACGCAAATAGGCTTTGTAGATCTAATGTTTTGATGTTAATCAGACAAACTCCAACAATCACATTTCCTGTGTTTCTAGGTTGCTTGTGGTAACACCATGGTGGCTGATGTTGTATTTGCTGGAAACGTGAGGACTGAACTCTTTTACAACAGTGATTCTTCACACTGAAATATTTTTATAACAGTCACAACAATAATAATAATCCTTGCATTCGCTATAACTCCTTTTCACAGCTTCGCGACGTCTCAAAGCGCTTCACAGAACATACCTTAAAGCTAGCTGTCTGTATATTTTGTGGGCAAAACCATTCTACTTTCTACCTCTCTTCCGGCTTTCGCAAACCTCCTTAAAAGAAACAACTTAAACCCTGTTTGGTTTGGATACTCTTAAGCCACGGTGACGGGTTTCCGCACGCGTCAGATAAACACGGCTGATTTAAAAAAAAGGGTCTTTTTTTAATTTCGCTCCACCATTTGATGTTTTAGGCGGCACCTGAATCGTTCTGCAAAGCTGCTAGAGCGTTGCTGCAAGCACCTTCGTGCAAACCCATTGAACAGCAACTGAACAACCTGATCATAAACCTGCAAATAACAGGAGTGGAGGTGAGAAACGGGTTGAGATCTGCGGAGCGGACTGTTCGGTGCTCGGAAACGCGAAGCAATAGAAATAGCCGTTCCTGGATACTGTCCTGCGGCTAAGACAGTAAACCAAACTCCCCGTCTGCCTGTTCAGGCGGATGTTTAAAGATCTCGCGGCGCTTTACAAAAAGAGAAGGGAGTTTCTCCGGTGTCCTGGCCGACAATCCCCCAAATTATATTCGTCACTCACTCCGTGACTGTTTGTGGGACACTGCTGTGTGCAAACCAGCTGCCGCATTTCGCCCACAAAACACTCATTCCAGGATATCCTGCGAAGCGCTTTGAGGCTTCTCAGCAATGCGATAAGACGACCGGGACCGTCACAGAGGGCTGACTCGATTCCGACATTCCATTACCAAACTCGTCACCTAGAATCAGTTCAGCTCCGAGGGGACCCTATTTACCTCCCTCCACACCCCCCAACCCCCCCAAGGAGGATAGTCACTAGTTGATCGTTCGACATCCGACACGCGCGGGTTGGCAAACGCTTCTCCGTATTCTCGGAAGAGTAACGTTTAACCCATTGTTTTTCCAGACATCCAACTGCTCCCTTGACGAAAATTCTGAGGTTGAAATGAGCACCTTTCTGATAAGCCTGAAGAAATTCTGCAAAAAAGTCTTCAGCTTGCAATAACCGGTGAACCATCGGGGCGCTGTTCTCAGTTTTCAATGTGGAATACACATTTTCAAAATTATTAAATGTAATATTTATTTAACCTAGCAACGTGCATATGCAAACAGTAAATTCCTGATAACTCGACCCTGGCTTAACTTGTCAACACCACTTGCTGGATTTATTGCCTAACTCGCCTAACTAATTTGGATAAATGGTCTCTGAGCTTTGCCTCGGCCCCTCCTTTGCCTCCTTCAAGGCCCATCTCAAGACCTTCCTTTTCGACCGTGACTTTGGTCATCTTCGTTCCTCCACCCCCCCACTTGCCCTCCACCCCTCTTAGTCCTAACCTGGAGTTCGGGTGCAAACTCCTCATTGTCCAGTGCCTTGGGACATCCTCCTGATATTGTTATTGTTGTTGAACCTTTTTCTCTGGATTGATGAGTTAGCAGGAGCTTACTGCATATACATTTTTTGTATAAAATATTTAATATCTGACTAACATTGTAGCTGATGAATAGGCCAACTGCAATCATACAAGAATATTGTTTTGTGGTGGAAATAATATTATTAATAATAATTATTTGTTTGAAACTTTTGAAAGTCCTCTGAATAAACAAATTTTTATGCAAAAATAAAAACCATGGATTTTTATTTATTTACACGCAAATCAATTTATTTATACACTCAAGAACATGTTACCGTGCAATGCGTGAACTGCTTATTGATAGGAGGTGTAGAAAATTGTCGCCCACAGAATATGCAGTCAATTCACTTTACAGTATATTCTGTGAAGCGCTTTGAGACGTCTCGAAAACGTGATGAGGCGCTGTGTCAAATACAAAGATTATTTATTTTATTATTAAAAGAATAAAAATCTGTGTCCCAAGTTACATTATAAAAACTGAAGAAGCCAAATCTTCATACTTGAACTGTGTGGATCTCAGTTTTCAGTGATGTAAGAATTATGTATCAGCACTCAAAACGGATGACAAAGTATACCGTTCAAAACCCTTTGACACATCTCAATGATCTGATAAGTTACTACAATGAAATCAAAAACAAGAGTAAATTGACATTATGAAATGAAATTAATATCTACAAATTTGGGCAGAGACACAAAACAGCTTTGTCTCCATCTATCCCTCATGTCTTTGACTCTAACCTCAAATAATGATCCAAGCTTTCGATCACCAGATTTGTGGCTGAATTCTTTCATCTGTTGAATTTGGTGGTTTTCAACTTTCAATTACGAACCATCAGTTTAATGATTAATTTCTTAGTAGAAGTGTAAATTCTGACAATCTGATTGCCATCAATCCATAGATTGTTTGTGGCAAAGGAAGGACATGGTGCCATCTCTTTATTCGGACATCAATTTGCTCCTGGCTTATTAATTATCATCCACGCAGATGAACAATTTATGAGCGAAGATGAAACCATGGCTTGGCACGTTAAGATTGTAGCGTGTGGGAGAAATTGGAAAAGCTTCAAATCTTCTTTACTCCACACGCCTCTGTTTCCCGAGCAATAAGTGAGTAGTCGATTTGTGGATCGCTTCTCCAGGGGGTAATAATTTCTTCCAAAAAATATATAGATAAACAAATAGATAAATAAATAATTTGATCCCTCAATCTGAGTGCAAGCTCCCTGCTGTCTGAGCCATGTTGGTACTAAGATACAATGCTTGCATTTGACCCAAATGTCTCGCTAAACAGTGCAAAATCTGTGGATGCACGGATTAAGTGAGACAGATACAGAAATGTCTGTCCATTGATATAGACAGATACAGAAATGTCTGTCCATTGATATAGATAAGGTCCCAGAATTTATGAATATATACATACAATAATAATCCTTGCATTTGATACAGCGCCTTTCCACATCTTCGAGACGTCTCCAAGTGCTTCACAGAACATACTGCAAAATGCAGTGACTGTATAGTTGGTGGGTGTATATATTTCGTGTCCTTTTACAGGCAGGCACCAAATGATGATACGTGTGGTTATTGTATACAGTAGCCTGGGGCAGGGGCTGGAGTTTGAAGAGCAGTAAGATAGTGTTCAGGTTTCAGAGGCTTTTAAATTTTAGTTGCTTTGATCAGTCCCATGAAGATAATTGCAGCGAGCTCAAACCAAATGTCCTAATGAGTGGCAGGGGATCGTGGGGTACTTTTTGGAGAAGAGTGAGTGAATGTGTGAGTAAATAAATCCTTGATTACTTGATTGACTGGCTGAGAGAGTGAATAAGTGGTTGATAGCTAGATTGTGGAGTCCTGTGGCTCAGTGGTTAGAGCACTCGCTTTGCAAGCGAGAGACCTGAGTTCAATTCCAGGCAGAGGGCGAAACCTTGGGCAAGTTTCCTTACTCCACACAGAGCCTAATAATAATCCCTCCAAAACCAAAAACATTAATAAATTGGTCATTTTCAATCTACGACTGTTTGAGGGACATTGCTGTGCGCAATTGGCTGCCGCGTTCGCCCACAAATATACGGTCAATTCACTTTACAATGTGTTCTGTGAAGCGCTTTGGGACGTCCTCCCGACGTGAAAAGCGCTATATCAAATGCAAGGATTATTATTATTATTGAGTGAGTGAGTGAGTGAATGAGTGAGTGAGTGAGTGAATGAGTGAGTGAGGGAAGGAGTGAGAGAGTGAGGGAGGTTTTGCATGGCTTGTAGAAGGAGTGGGCTTGTGTTTTTTTCTCTCATTGCACAGTAAAAACCGAATTCAAGATTGAAGTGAAATGTTTAAAAATGCCCTGTCAGACCTTTGAATGACAAATGCACGAAACAGCTCAAAAAATGACATTATAATAATTTATTGCTTTCTCCACATTTTTCTCCAAAACGAATACCCAAACATTTATTCAATGATAAAACTTACCAATATTTATAAAAAATAAATTATTGCTTGCAAGCGAGAATCTTAATTTTCATTCTAGATAATCCAATGCACATATGTGAGATGTACACATACCCAACATGTTTAATAATTTATCCTAATATATCTATATAGCATAAAAGATAATAAACTTTAAGTAAAGTTAACGTACGGCTATAAATAAATAAATATTTATGTTGAAAAATAACCCACTTTTATGTAACAAAAGGAACATAAGGACAGTCTTTTGCAAATGAATCATGAATTTGGGTCTTGTTTGCCTTGTGATTCAAATGGATATTAAGGGACTTCAAGTTTGGTCTCTTAAGACCCTTTTGCCTTAAAAGTTAAGATTGTGCAGGAATGAGGCTAAATTCTTAAACCGCTTAAATTTTCATCAATTTGAGATAAAATGGTCCTAGTGACCAAAACAAAGTAGAATGTTGATTTTCTTGAGGTTGCCATGATTTAAAAGCATGATTGTAGCTCTTGCTTATCCTGTCCTTATAGGTCCCTTTGCATCCAACTTCACCCCAAATGAATTGGCCATTTATTCACCATATTGTTGTTTGAAGGCAAGTAGTTTGCACCCCAGCTCGGACACAAACCCTTAACTGTCTAACGCCTCGGGATGACCCTTTGGCACGAAAGGCGCTGTATAAAGGTAATTTGTTGTTATTGCTGTTGTTGTAGTCATCGGAAGTAACGTCGCTCATTGGACAGTATTTGCCTCAATGGTATTCACCGGCTCTCATTAATCTTTCATCTAATTGAGTCTAATTTGTTCTCATTCTGTGAAGCTCTTCCTTTGCGCAATAAAAATGCAAGCTGTTTGTTCTTGTAAAGGCAATGATTAAAGAAAATACAGATAAAATAGTTTCTAGGTAAGATAAATCTAATTGTTGTCTATAGCACAAGATATTACCAGAGCTGACCATATAGGCTGATCCCACAGTTAAAAGTAACACACAGTTTTCTCATCATTCAACCCTTCGATTTTGTCGTCAAATGATTCTTGTCACCATTTGTCCTAAATTTCTTCTGGGAGAAGTTCAACAGTCTTTTCAGAAAGTTTTTGAACTCGACCTGAGAAAGTTCACTGACTTCACACTCAGTTATCTGCAGGGAGAGAAATAAATTTCAGGTCAAACTTTTTTTGGAGGCATCGCAAGAGATTGCATTGTTCTTCGCTCGCGTATCGTGAATGGGCAAAGCTCTTCGGTCAAGGAGTAACAGAACTTCATTAACACTATAAATCAGGGTAGTCCGACTGGTGGCCAGTCTGGTGACAGGACTGGCCATTCCGGCTAAAATATTGCTTTTGTGGCCCCACAGATGTTTCTCAAATCCAGCATTCGGCCCTCAACAGGTTGTCCCCCCCCACCCCCCACCCACACACACGCACTGCCTTGACAAATAGCCTTGACAAACTCAAAGGAAGAGTATTTATCGCAAGGACTCACCTGCCCTCCCATGTGAATTAGGTTGTGTCGAAGTTTGTGCAATTCTTTGAGGTTATTGTAAAATGGAAGCAACTCCAGGACTTGGGCCGCTTTGCAAAAAACCTCTGAATCACTGCGATCCTGCAAAGCAAACCACGGTCAAGACATGCCGAAAATATCTTAGAAGTAGTCAGCAAAAGAAAAAAATAATAAGTCATCATAACAATAAGCCTCGCATTTGATACAGCGCCTTATCGCGCTGTTGAGACGCCTCAAAGCGCTTCACGGGATATACTGTAAAGTGAATGGACTGTGTATTTTGTGGGTGAAACGCGGCAGTCGACCGCGCGCAAAACATGGGTAGTGCGTAACATGAGAAATGATCTTAAATTGTTTTTTAAAAGAATATTCAGTTCATTGCTATCTTATGAAATCCCGGATTGCTGTGAAGGTAAGTGACTAGGGGGAGACTCTGACTGTAAAGGCTGCTTTGCTTATTCATTTTCACATCGCTAAGTTGCTAAAATACACATCTTGCAATTTGGTTCCATTGATCTGCATCTACGTCAAAATGATCTGAACTCCTACGCTCTGAACCCTGACTGCTTAATCATCCACACAGATTGCTCAGGTTCGATACAGAGGTACTGTCTGCCCTAAGGCAGAACACGCATTAGATTTCGCCCACAAAATATACAGTCAATCCACTTGACAGGATATCCTATTGAGATGTCTCGAAGACCTGATAAGGCTCTGTATCAAAATACAAGGATAAAGCAAGATTGAGGGCTATCATTGTACTTCAGGCTTCACACCGCGGGACAGTGTTAGTGCTTTGACTGAAAGTTCGCTTCAGGTGATCGCTCAAAATCGAAGAGTGGGATTTGAAACGATCATTTCCACCCGCACAGCATCAGCCCACAAAAGAGATCACAGATTAATATCCAGTCAATATCAAAACTGTAACCGTCGTTGCGTTGGTAGAAAGCCCATATCGATGCACAAAATGAAAATGACGATCCGATGAAGGGAGAGGGAGATAGGGCACTTATTGAGGGCACTCATCTTTTTCAGTGCTACGGGTTGAAATCATGATCCTTTTGATCTTTTACACATCGCACCTCATCGACCGGGCTTATGGTCACCTCCTCCTGACTCCCCCTCCCTAACCCCCCCCACCCCACCACCACCACCACACGGTCAGGCTCCCACCCTCTTAAGCCCTCCGAGCCACTACCCCACGTGAAGTTCTCTACATAAATGCAAGTCACGTTTGTTTTTAGACATACTAAATTGGCTAAAGTGCAAGATCAGAGAATATTACATTGCTACTTGCACTGAGAGAGATCAGAAGGGGAAGTAAAGCTAATGCACGGGTCAACCTCTAAAGTTTGTTACCAGGCCAAATTGTGGTTAAAACAAAGTGAATCACTTGATATCATAAGAGATCAACGGCGGGTACGTCATTCTTGCAGTAACAGCATTACTCAGCCGGCAGGGACAAAAGATTCTCACCTTTACGTCCTCGAATATCTCTGGCACGTGGTTTTGATGATGATGAACCTGCAGAGAAAGGTAAAAGAACTCACATCAGTTCGATAGCTCTTCACACACAAGCAACTTGTGAAATTACACATCGCTCCTCTTAAGTGCTACTCAGTTTGTTTTGCAGGAATAAGCGTTAGATAATAAATACACATTGCGATAGATGTTAAGCATTGAGATTTGATCTGCAATGGCCTCCCTGATCAAACGCCAATTTCAATTCACCACATGATTTGTCACTTCATGCCTCGAACAGATAAATATATTTTTTATACCGATGAGTTTCGTCCACAGTCAATCCACTTAACGATATATTAACTGAGCGCTTCGAGACGTCCCGACGCAAAGATTATTATTCTTATTCTCATTTATAAGTAGGTACATTTCAAGCGGTTTATTCGTTGGTTCACATAGAAATGAAAGTGGACACTGACCTGGTTTTCTAAAATGTGCCGGATGGTACTGATGATCTCCTTCAGAGACTGATGTCTGGCCTTTGTGGTGATCTGAGTGGCACACACAGCACTCAATAGGATAGAGAGGAGAGCTGCAGCTTTCAGTATGTGAGCCATAGCAGTCTGTATTGTTCTGATCTCAGTCGTTGGATAAGCCACTGATTGACTGAGTGCGGATGAAATAATGGTCCTCCTTTTATACAGCCAGCAACTACCTCAGTGAGGAAATACCGAAGGGGAGGGGAAACGGGTGTGTGGCGGTGGCTTGAGTAGGGTAGGGTGAGGGGGTGGGGGGGGGTGGGGTTGAGGTTACAAGGATGTTAAGTGTTGAGTTAGCAAACGAATAATATAAGTTAAATCTGATCAGAAAGGAAACTCTTTTGACTGATTAAAAAGATGGAGAGAAAGCAAACAGGAACAATACAGAGATCAGATACCGAGATCATTTCGGGTAAATTGTTAGGTCACTTTTTAACCACACAAATGCTGCAAGTGAACATTTTCACAACGGGGAAGTTTTTCTCTTTCCCCACTACGTTTCTCTTTTTAAAAAAAATCTGTTCACAAAGACCTCTCAAACAAATGATTGAGCGATTACCCTACATTTTACTGAAGGCAGTTGGAAAAAAAACACAGATGTTGAATGGTAAGGGATATTCAAACACTCCTGACACGTTGGTGCTCATATTTAATAATAATTTTAATAATAATAAGCATCCTTGCATTTGACGTATCATCTTATCACATTGTCGCTGATGTCCTGAAGCAGCGTTAGGGTTTAACTGCTCACCTGAAGGGAATTATATTTCAAAGTGATTTCCTATGGAAATTCTATGCTAAAATAATGATCTGTGCATTTGAAATAGCGCCTATGCCGTCTGCGAGATGACTCAAAGCGCTTCACAGAATACACCGTAAAATGAATCGACTGTATACTTTGCAGGTGAAACGCAGCAGCCAATTGAGCACAGTCGTAGACTGAGTGACCAAATTATTATTATTATCATTTTTTTTAATGGATTAAATGGATTCTTTAATTTTTTTAATGGATTCTTACCTCCTGAAAGCAATCTGACAATCGACTAAGGACCGGAATATTACTTATTGCTTAGGTAAACAGTGATGTGTGGAGGAAGGAAACTTGCTTAAGGTTTCCCTACCCGGGAATTGAACTGTGAATATGTATAATCCATCGAGAATATACTGTAAAGTGAATTGACTGTGTATTTTGCAAGAAACTAAAATGCTCTGTAGATTATGAACGTTTAGGGTTACTCCTACTCTCTGACAGGGTTCCGTTGATAGATAGATAAATAAATAAACACATAAACAAACAAAAAAATCAATTAATCAATCAATCAATCAATCAATGGCGACATTGGCAATAGCCACACTTTATCTATTTCCAAATCCCTGATTGTCCAGAGTCTTGGGATGTCCTTCTGGCGTGAAAGGCGCAATACAAATGTAATTTGTTTGGGTGGTGACTTTGGAAAAGGAATGGGATTGGGATTGGAGTATCAAGAGAACTGAATACTTTACTCTTCTTCAAACAGAGACATGGAATTTTTTCTAACACCTGCCTGGACCAGAGGGAGACAGAACAACAACAACATCAAAATTCCGTTTGTAAAGCGCCTTTCATGCAGGGAGGATGTCCCAAGGCGCTGGACAGACAGAGTTGTGGACCTAAGCTGGGGGTCAGAGTCGGGGAGGATGGAGGGCAGCGGGGAGATCGAAAGCACAGTCGATGAGGAGGGTCTCGAGATGGGTCTTGAAGGTGGCGAGGGAGGGGGCGAGGCAGAGGGATTGCGGGATGGAGTTCCAGAGGGTGGAGGCAGAGTGGCTGAAGGCCCGCCCACCAATAGTTGGGCGAGCGAGGCGGGTGATGTGAAGGCTGGAGCCTACTAAGCGGAGGGAGCGAACAGGGTGGTAGGGGGTTAGGAGGTCGCAAAGGTAGGGGGGAGAAAGACTGTGGAGGGCTTTGAAGGTGAGGACCAGGATCTTGAACTGTATCCTCTGTGTGGTGGGAAGCCAGTGGAGTTGGGCGAGAATGGGGGAGATAGGGTTGTGGTACCTGCAGAGTTCTGGATGATCTCCAGCCTGTGGAGGAAGGAGTTGGGGAGGCTGACAGCAATAAATTTGCATTGTCAAGCCTCGATGTAATGAAAGCATGTATGAGGGTTTTGGTGGCCTGTGGTGTGAGACAGTGACGGAGCCGGGTGGTGTTGCAGAGGTGGGGGAAGGCAGAGCGGGTCATGGTGCAAATGTGGGGTAGAAAGGGTAGTTGAGGGTCAAACAAGATGCCAAAGTTCTGGACTGGTTTAGCAAAGTGGAGTGTGCAACCATGGACGGTGATGGTGTCAGCGCCTACAGGTGAGGAGGCGCTGACGGGAGCCAATCAGGAGGGCCTCAGTCTTGTTGACGTTCAACTAAAGAAAGTTCGCTCTCATCCAGGACTTGATGTCTGACCGACATTCTGTCAGGACAGCAGTGGGTCCTGGAGTCAAGGGTGGAGGCAGAGAGATAGAGTTGGGTGTCATCCGCATACGTGTGGAAGTTGATCCCATGTCTGTGGATAATGTCACCAGGAGGAGCATATAGATATTGAAGAGGAGGGGACAAGGACGTGGCACGGAAACCCAATTGGAGGGTTTATGAAGGGAGTGGCGGGAGAGGAAGGAGTGAAGCTGAGAAGCAACAACTCGTTCCAGGACCTTGGAAAGGAAGGGGAGGTTGGAGATGGGGCAGTAGTTTGGAAGTAGGGATGGGTCCAGGGAGATTTTTTGAACGTAGGAGTGATGACGGCTGTTTTTAATGGCGTAGTGTACAGGGAGAGGTTTATGATGTCAGTGAGTTGAGGGGCAAGGAGGTGGAGCTGGGAGTTAAGGAGAGGGATAGGGATGGGATTCAGGTGATCAGTTTCATGCGGGAACAGGGGTTTAGTGGCTCGTTCTACCGATGAGCAACTCAGAGCTATTGATCCCAAAGGTCATTTTCAAGTTGATATTTTTCTAAAAACAAAATTCTAATCACAGTTTCGTCCTAATGTTAAAAAGACCTGTTATCCGTTCATCTGTCAGATATCTGAGCACAAACATAACCAAACTCTTGCAAGCCCTTTCGAGTGGTGACATTTTCCGTTAACACTTTCATGCGACTTTGCAAACGCCCAACGAGCGTTGTTCAAGTGAATTGCTGGCTCTGATCATTTTGGTTCAAAGCTGAAATGATCCTGGGTGGGTGTCAGTCTGGCTCAGTTGGCAGCTCTTTTTCCTCTGAAGGTTCAAGGTCTGATTTGGGATTTCAACTCATTTAATCCAGGTTGACAATCCAGTGCAGGGCTGGCACTTACTGTTCAGGTGAATGTTAAAGATCCTGCGGGGCTATTCAATAAAGGGAAGGGAGTTTCTCTCTACCGGTGTCCTTGCTACCAATTCCTCAGATAAAATTGGTCATTTATTTTGTCCAGTGCCCTGGGACATCCTTTCGTCGTTTGTGAGACAGCAAATTGGCTGTCATGTTCACCTACCAAATACACAGCCACTATACCTTACATTAAATACTACGAACCTCTTTGAGACGTCCTCCTGATGAGAAAGGCGCTGTATCAAATGCGAGGAATTATCATTATGAAAATACTTTGAGGGGAGTTTAGAAATAAAATGTGGGGTGGGTGGGGGTGAAGGTGGCATTCTCTGCTTCAAACATAAAGAGGGATCCATCAACTCTTTCAAAGGGAATTACACAGTTACAGTGTAGGAGGAATACCAAAGACCATGGGAACGAGCTACAGAGTGGAACGGGATATTCATTTGTAGAGAAAAAAACTGGGCGAAGGTTGGATTGACGATAAGATGCTGAAACATTCTAGGATTAACGCTTGAATAGACTAAGAGGTTGCAAGTCATCATAAACTCTGAGCCTTATTGTTACTGACTCAGAGATTGACAAAACTGATCCGTTCCTGCGCTATAATAATAATACGAATCATCATTGCATTTAAGATAGAGCCTTACCACATCATCAAGACATCTCAAGGCACTTCACAGGATAAATGGTGAAGCGGATTGACTGTCTATTTTGTGGGCAAAGACCTTCACAATCTTGAAAGTCTCTTTCAGGTGTCTGCTTACTCTTGGGAGCCAGTGGAAAGAGGACTAATTTCTCGAATCTCTCTTTCTAACCAATAACCCTCTCCCTCCTCTCCGCCCCACTCCGGGCAACATTCCAGCGAATCCACATTACACACAATGCCACTGCTCAGCAGATCCTTTGCAAATGAAAGAAAACAACTTCCAAATGAAAACCCCAACATCAAAACTTTCCAACAATTCTGTGCGATGTTATATTCAAGACAACGGCCTTAAAGATGAGACCGTGAGAAATACGGGGCAGAGACTTTAGATTGTGACTAATTCATGTCGATCTCTCACACGATTCTTTAATAAGCAATCAAAGCGGGGACGGCTTCTGCTGACTGGAAGTTCATCATACTTCACCCTCCAAAGGTAGACTGTTTCAGTGATGGATTCCTGAGGACCTCACTTCCAATCCCCCTTCCTGAGGATTCAGGTTAGAAATAATCATGTGCAACAACAGCAACAGATTACACTTGTATAGCACCCTTCACGTCAGAAGGACATCCCAGGGCGCTGGACAATCAGGAGTTCGGACTCAAGCTGGAAGTTGGGGTCAGGAGGGGTGGAGACAGTGGGGTGGGGATGAGAGGGTGGCTGAAGGCACAGTCAAAGAGAAAGATCTTTAGACGGGACTTGAAGGGGGCAATATTAGATAATAATAACCCTTGGATTTGATATAGCGCCTTATCACATCGTTGAGACGTCTCAAAGAGTTTCACAGAATGTATTGTAAAGTGAATTTACTATATATTGTGTGGGCGAAATGCAGCAGCCAATTGCCCACAGCAGTGTCCCACAAACAGTCGTGGATTGAGTGGGCCAACAACTATTTTTTTTGATTTGGAGAGAATATTATTCCCCCGGAAAGCAGTCCATCAATCGACTAACAACCAGGTTCCTGGCGTGTGGAGTACGGAAACTTTCCTAAGATTTGAAAGACAGATAAACACACACACACGTACACACACACACAGA